TTGTGGGTGGGTTTGTTTTTTTTTTTTTTTTAAGATTGTATCGTTGTGATCACTGTAGGGCTTTTACCTGCATCAGAATGTTGGTTAGAGTTATTTCTCAATCTGAAGAGTTGTTGTAGGAAAGGTTTAGATGAATGTGAGATGAATAGGGGACTGCAAGGAAAGTTGTTTCATTCAGAGAATGTGGGTTTAGTGCTTTTTCTGCTTACTCTGAATCTGTATTTAAACTCTTCCAGGTATAACAAGGTAGATTGAGTTTAAGAAGAAATAGTCATATATATATATTGTATGTTGATAACTGTTGAGCATTGTAAATGAAATGGAGTTGGGCAGGGTCAGACTTCCCTTCATGAACAAGAATTGAGCTGCAAAATGTTGTTATGGTGGGTTAGAAGGTGGCATATTTCAGACTACCAAGGACCTGGAGCTCATGCACAGAAGCGGTTTACTACAGCTTAATGAGATTGTGCATGATAGATAATTCACGTGTGCACTTTGAACACATGGCAAATGTGAGAGAACTTGTTAAGTTACAATAACTTACTCATTTGTCCAAGCGCTGAGAACATCTGAAGGCAACCATGACCTGCAGCTTGAAATCAAGGTCTTGATTCCTTTTGTGTATTGAAAGATCCCATGATACTCTTTAAGGATAACTGTAACTCTTTGTATTCTGGATGCATTTCTCTAGTTACTTATGTTTTCTGTGCAGCTCTAGTTTAATATTTTTTTTTTTCCATTGCCTTCAACTTAACTTCTAAATCCCAAACATTTTGGTACATTGTCCTGCAAGTGACTGTTCTGTTTGGGAATGCCAACAGACTGCCTTCTTATAATGGAGAGCTCAGATGTGTAACTTCATGTTTCATGAAATAATTCAAAATGTTACATTAATACAGACTATTGCTTTCTGTGAACTCAGGTGACCGGGTCATAGACGTAGGGTCAGAGTGGAGAACTTTCAGCAATGACAAAGCAACAAAAGATCCATCTCGAGTCGGGGATACCCAGAATCCTTTGTTGAGCGATGGCGACTTGAGTACGATGATTGGAAAGGTAACACTTAAAATACTAAATTTTACCAAGTTTGAGCATTTTTATGTCAAGTATATACTTGTATGTCCATAGGGAAACTGTTCAGAGAATGTATTTACAAAGAGATTTTGTCTGAACTGAACTCTTACATTTCAATGGTCTGTAAAATGTGGCCCTTTCCTGGGCGTAGCAGGAAAGGGCTGACCTCTTCAACAAAAGAAAAGCTTGCAGTGCTGTGGGTTTACTTGGCACTCTTTGGTACGCTGCTATAAATAGAAAAGCTGATGTTGCAATCCCTAAAGAAACATTTTGACTTAGCATGCGTATTTGAGATGATTCTGAAATAACAGATACTCAGTTTTAAGGTCTCAATAGCTAGTACTGCCCAACTTGAACTATCATTTTTTGTAATAAAATCTGTATCAGATTCATATTGGACACCCGGAGATCTACATGCATGTTGTACATGTTCTTCCAGTTAATGTTAGAGCACTAAATGTAGAACTCTTTTGTGGTGCGAGTGCTCCAGAAGAAAGTATTCAATGTACGAGTTGAAATTTAGTGGTACAGCCATATCCTGCTGTTTCCCATGAGAAAGCAAACAAGATTAATTGTGCAAATGCACTCCCTTTAATGAAGTAGTGACCCAGGTAAGTTTTAATTGTTATACTTTGTGTTACGTTTTTTACTGCAAGATCCAAATGGATTTTTGTGGATTTCTTGAATGTTTCATGAAAGGTGGTCCAGTTGCTGATAAATAACTATTAAAAAAATGTATTGCTGCTTTGTGTGTTGCAGTACATGCACACCAGGATTTCTCAGAAGTTTTTGTTCCAGTGATGTTGCTAGGATGAAGAAGTAGACATACCTAAACATGTATGGATACGTATAGGGGAGCGTGCACCATACTTCTCAACCAAGAATTCTTCAAAGAGATGAAGTTGACTAGTGAACACTGCTATGGACAACCAATCTTTCACCATTGGTGAAAAAGAAACCTTCTGTTCAAAGGATTGTCCAAGTAGATGCTTGTGTTTTGAACAACTCCAAACATGGCTGCCCACCAGATTTTAGGATGTCTTATGGTGGCTTTTGGAATCCATTCAGGCAAACAAATTTCTGCGCTGCTCCGTTAAAAAAAGTTGGCATTGCTACGTAGCTCTGTGAAGCAGTGCTGTAGAAGTCACTGGGGTTTTAATGTCACCTGTATAGGTCTAGAAAGATGGTAGTTCCCAGGGTTTGGATTTCTGTCACTGATTTGGTCAGCTATGATAAAGATCAGAAATACCCCTTTATAGACAGATGGAGAAATGGACTGTTTGCTCCAGGTTCACACCGTTGTTTTGTTTTGGAACTGTGTAAATAAAGGGTTTGTTTCTGGGAGCTCGGTTTGATTCAGTAGGTAGGGTGAGCTTCTGAGCTCTTTTAGAACCTGCGTGTTGGAAAAGACAAAAGATATTTCAGCTAAAGATAGAATTTGTATCCAGGTGAACAGTGACTTGTGCTGTTAACCCTCTTCTCTCTGGAGGTTCAGATCCTCGTTTAGAATAAAAGGGATAGCAGCCTCAGTGAGAGAATAAAAGACATAAAGGAATGTCTGTGAAAAGTTTTGTTTTTCAATGAGAACTAAAAATGTTTAGAGGTAGACATTCATCTAATGAAACAGTTTTGCTGTTAACCAGAACATCCCAGAATAGGCATGACCAAACTTGCTGTAGCAAAGACTGCCATTCAGTGAAGATGAGATGCGGGAATGTCAGTGTGGCATGATTTAACCTATGAGAACTGTGAGTAAAAATGTCCCAAGTACTGGAACCGCCAGGATCACGTTGGAGAACGCAGAGGGAGCAGTCTGTCCTACTGTGGATATTTTATTTGCACGGGGAGGAATCACAGAAGAGGCACATTATTTTCTACGGGAAATTGGGAATCTCTTTGACAAACCAGGATGTGTTCTGTACAAGAGTTCCTGTGTTTGTCTTGCCAGTGAGCAGGGGCTCTGGGATGTCGGCTCATTGATGTGAACTCTGTATCGGGAGCTGCGTTTTTCCTCAGTCATTTGGAAGGAAGAGAATGGCTTATATCAGAAGATGCTGAAGAAATTTCCTATCAGTGCAGAAAGGCCATGAATTTTGCAGCAAAAATAACTAAACCAAGGAAGTAGTACATTTCTCAAGCAGTCTTCTGAAGTCCCTGCCAGCAGTAGGCTGGGATGAAGATTGACCTAGATAATGCACAGTGGTTGAACAAGGGTGAAATTGGTGTAGTCATGAGGAAGATAAGTAGTATCCGACAGAGTACAGGACAGCCTTCATGAATTCCAGAGAATGAAGCAGGGTAAGATTGTATTTTCTCAGTTAACAACAATCTTAGAATTCCCTGGAGTGGACCTCAGATTTGTGTGCCAGAGATTGCTTTAGCCTTTCACATGGGACAGGGAACGGAGGTATTCCTTTCTGCTTGAGAGGTAGGGCTGCGGATAATAGAATCTTTAAAACAAAAAGCTGCTCACCACCACCAAACAACCCCCAAACGCAGCCTGTGTTGTGGAAGATCCAAAAGAGAAGGACATTCATAATTCTCACGGCACATCATATTAGAGATCTATTGTAAACTCCTGGGAATGTATGAAAGTGGAGTCTGAGCCACTTGCCAGTTACAACAGTAAAGTTCTGGTGACTGGCTGTTGCCTTGAAATAGTAAAGGAAGGGGGCCAGTTCTGCTTCACAGAATGGTTTGTCACTCTTTCCTCTTTGAGACCAGGAGGTGCTGCTTCGGGACTCCTTTCTGCTGGGGGTATGTGGTCTGTATCTGCTAGCAGCAAAAGAGAGGCTGCTTTGCCCATGCAAAGGGATTCGTTCCTAATTGGTTTTAGTACTTAAGGGACCCATCTGTCTGAGGCAGCAACAGCCTGCGTTGGAAGAAAGATTAATTTGTCTGTGAAGAGGAGGATGAATAGCGTAGTTGGCTGTGGTGGAAGTGGTTTGCATTCTTCAGGCAGATCTTTAGGATATTGGCACAGAACTGTCTCTTTCAGAAAAGTAGATACTGTGTGCTGCAGTTGATCTGATGACAATGCAGATCAATTGGAGACATGGTGAAGTCTGGCATTAACTCCTGGGAGTATGAAAGTGGAGTCTGAGCCACTTGCCAGTTACAACAGTAAAGTTCTGGTGACTGGCTGTTGCCTTGAAATAGTAAAGGAAGGGGGCCAGTTCTGCTTCACAGAATGGTTTGTCACTCTTTCCTCTTTGAGACCAGGAGGTGCTGCTTCGGGACTCCTTTCTGCTGGGGGTATGTGGTCTGTATCTGCTAGCAGCAAAAGAGAGGCTGCTTTGCCCATGCAAAGGGATTCGTTCCTAATTGGTTTTAGTACTTAAGGGACCCATCTGTCTGAGGCAGCAACAGCCTGCGTTGGAAGAAAGATTAATTTGTCTGTGAAGAGGAGGATGAATAGCGTAGTTGGCTGTGGTGGAAGTGGTTTGCATTCTTCAGGCAGATCTTTAGGATATTGGCACAGAACTGTCTCTTTCAGAAAAGTAGATACTGTGTGCTGCAGTTGATCTGATGACAATGCAGATCAATTGGAGACATGGTGAAGTCTGGCATTAGTTGTGACTTGATTGCCAGAATGTTATTTCTAAAATCCCTGTGTAAAATTCAAGAAAAATAACTGAACAAGCAGCTTCTAGATCTGCCTTGATATAAAGAACTCTTTTCTGTGAATCTAAAAGAAAACTTTTAAGTTTTCCTACCTATCTTGTGGAAAAAGTTGTCTTTTGTCACCCTTTGTAGTTAATCTATTCCTTTTTGTAGTGACTGCAAGTACAAGAGAATTAGGTTGGTCGAACAAGAAACTAATGCAATCTCTTGGTATAGAATTCCTATCCTTTGATCAGATGCCTCCGAAAGGAAGCTGGCTGTTGTCAGACTGCGCGGCCTGGATCTAGAAGTGCTATATCGATAAGCAGTGGCAAGATATGAAGGGCTGATGATTGAAAAAGAAGAAAGGATCCATCGGACTGTATAATGAGCTGGTTGTACTGGGCAAGACGACTGCCAGATCTGAGGGCATTCCCTGGTGTTGTGGATAACCTCAAGTCAATGATGTGGATGGTGTTGGTGATGCTTCTACTTTCTGCTATTAAAGGGAACATACTGGGGTACAAAGCTGTTGGCTGCCAGCACTGTAAACCTAACCTCCATTGAGGTCCTTCAGAGATTACCACTGTTTACTGGACTGTGTTTTCTTGCTCTAGCTATCTTTGAGGCTGTTTCCAGGGTTGTATCCATGAAGTTTCGGCTCTGTTTGAAAGCCAAACAGGTGGAACTCCTGACTTTGACAGGTACCTTTCTTGCTGAGATGGGAAAGATATGAGTAGGTGTCTCATAAAGGCCACAACAGTAAAACATGCAATTCTTAAAGTCTACTTGATTTCAGTTGAAACTGCATGGCTTCTGTTTTTTCCATGAAGGGAAAGGGACTCCTAACATGGTTGTCAAGGGCTGAAGCTAACAAGGCATGGTCTCTCAATTGAAAGTTCCAGAAGGAAAGTAGGTGGTGCATTTAAATAGCAAATGCAGGGAGAATTGTTGTGGTTTATTTAAGCGGTTGAGGTGGAAAAGTATTTTTCAACCCTTTTATAGTTGTGAGCTGTATATTGGGTATGGCTCTTGGCGAGTGCTCATACTGACAGGGTAAAATCCTGTGGCTAACAGTACTTGCCTATAGCTGCATTGGTAGTTTCAATATACGTAAGCAAATGTTCAAAGGAAAAGGTAACCATAAGTACCAGCAAAAAAGTGGAAAATGAGAGGTTAAGGAGAACCATTACCAAAAAAAAAAAACTTTTAGGTGCTGTGTAGTGGAACAGGGAAAATCCCTGTGGTGAAGGGGAATACTTGATGGCCCCAGGGCAGAGCAGTGTTTCCTAGTAGAGGACTATCTGGCATGAAGCCTGAATAGAGAAGGACTGGGGACTTGCTGTCAGGGTTGATAGGCCTTTGTGGTCACTCTTCTGGCATCTACAAGATTTTAAGCACATGCAGTTCCTATAAGCATTTGTGCCTAGCGCTAGTCTAGGAGGCCATGATGCACACCAATGTTGTAATGCATTGTGGAGAACAGGGGTATGAGTGATGGCCAGAAAGAAGAAGCCTTTTGACCTGAAACTTGCATATGTTTTGGGCCGAGGGAAGTTGTTCTGGCATAATTTCTGAAAGGAAGGTCTAGTGTTGCAGATAGGTTTGTAATGCTCTTTGTGGCCTCAAGTTTGTTGTGCTTGATTCTTGCCCTTTGTTTACCTTTAAACCTTACTGGGAACCTTTGGATAGTTGGAGGTGTTAACCCAGTCAAGGAAGTAGGATTGCTGTTGGAGCAGGTGCCAGGATCGTTTCTGGGTGGTTCTTTCGTCTGAAAGGATGTTTGAAGGAGTAGGAAAAAAACAAGAATGCTCTTGGAATCTAGCGTCTGTCATAGAGGGCCTGTTCAAGGGGCTGGGGAGGCTTGAGAAGGGAGGGTTCTGTGCCGGAGTCTTCGGTCTCCACAGCAGTATCAAAGTGTGTATGCACCACAGGTACGGGTGTCGACAGTAGAGGTATCCACCGAGCTCTTCAGAAATGGGGTGTAACTGGAGTCCTTGGGTGTAGGGAAGTGGAACAGTGTAAGCGAATGGCCAGGTTAGCAGTCAGTCATAGATCAAGATCTGCTTTATGCTTACTGTTTTTGGCAAAACGGAACAGTGTAGTAGTCTGTGTCTGCAACGGCCACCTTATCAGCTTGTTTAAATGACCAAACCTTGTCTGCAGTGAAAGTTGGATCTGCAATGAAGGTTGGATGCCCCTGCCTGGCTAAATTGTTTGAAGGTGCCAGCAAGGAGTAAATGCATGCTGATTCAGGGAATCCAGGTTTCCACTCATGATGTGGAATTTTTTTGGAGAAGTGTTCTCCGCTTGAGAGAACTCACGGCCTGACACACTGATGGCAAACACATAAGTAGACAATAGAAATTACAAACATTGCTCTTCTGAACTTATGGGCCATGTGGTCATCATCAGCTATTACTGATCTGCCATGGCATTATTTATTAAACACGTGTTTCAGGCTGATGGCTAATTGAAGACCTTAAACGTTTTAGACCCTCTTAGTTGGGCAAAATTGATTGCATATTTAATAGAAGTATGCGATTTGTACTATCAGTTGTAAGGTACCAAAAAATGCATGTTGGAAGCTTGTTTTGGAAGTTGTCGGGTTGAGTTGGTGGCTCTTACTTCTCCTAAGACCTCAAGCTTTTCTTTTAAGAGGTCTGTGGTTTTCCTGTAAAGGCAGAATATGTGGATATTTATATTTTGCCACAGGTAAGGCTTGCAACTGCTAGCAGGCACAGTATCAAACTGGTTTTGAATAGGTAATTGGTTTGGATGTCTCTTTGCCCATGCCTTCATTTTCATATTTGAGTTCTAATTGTAACAACTGGTTTCCAGTTGGCCATAAAATTTTGTTTTCCTGACTTGCCGGTCTGCCGCAGTGCAGGTGCAGCCCACATGACATATGGGTTGCATAAAATCTAATCTTGGACCTCAGCACTGGTGACAGGAGTATTGAGACGCACACATTGGCTACATATTACTCATTTTATTCTTTAAACTATTGTTACATTAGGAAAGAAAAATCCCTGCGTTATCTGTGGTCCTTGGAAATCAAGTCACGATTTGAGACTTGTGCAAAGTATAGAACCCGATGTTTGGAACAACGCTCGATTGTACGATTTACTTCAGTGATGTTTATTTGCACAACTGTTCAAACTGAATGCCTTGAATTAAGATGTATAAAGCTGGAAGATGTTTGTTCTTGAAATGAGGAGGAAGTTGCTTGTGTTTTATTCACAATAAAATTTTTTCTTTTCAGGGCACAGGTGCAGCAAGTTTTGATGAATTTGGGAATTCAAAGTACCAAAATCGCAGAACTATGAGCAGCTCCGATCGTGCAATGATGAATGCTTTTAAAGAAATTACAAACATGGCTGACAGAATCAACCTCCCTAGAAATATAGTTGTAAGTTCACGTCTCCCTTCCCTAAATTGTCCTGGCATTGACTTAGTTAGCATAATATAATGAGCACATGAATTTTTGATATTGCTGCTAATTAAGTGGCCTAGAGTTAATTAAATTTAGTCTTCTTGCTTTGAAGGATCGAACAAATAATTTATTCAAGCAAGTGTATGAGCAAAAGAGCCTGAAGGGAAGGAGTAATGATGCCATTGCTTCTGCTTGTCTCTACATAGCCTGTAGGCAAGAGGGTGTTCCAAGAACATTTAAAGGTAAGTTTTCAGTGATACAGATTCAATTTTGCTATGAAGGAAAGGTCTAGTTACTGTCACTGCAGGAGGCTGGTTTTCTCATTCCTGGTCTTTGCTGAATTGGCTGTTCTCAGCTACAGCTCGCCTTTGGGGGTGGGGGGTGGGTAGAAGGGAGTCTGGAAACTTGTTATATTTGTGAAGCGAGTAGGCTCTTAAGCATGGGATTTTTGGTCATAATGCATTAAAAAAAAAGCAGCGTTTGAAAGTCATTCTGAGTGTTGGTGAAACTTAAAAGGTATTGCTTTGACCGGAGGATGGTGGGGACTATTGTAACTGAATTTGAACCAACAGTTCTGCAGTAAATATGTGTAACTTCTCCCTGACAGGGATACAACTTTTTTTGGCATTGAGTACCAAATTTCCCTTACTAAGCAAGCTGTATTAATTAGCTCCTTATGAAAAATGTGTGCTGACTGAAGTGATTTGGAAGTTTCACAAACATGCAAAGCTTATTTAGTGATGGTGGCCTTCATGACGTTGGCCTTCTTTGTGGGTCTTAATATATTGAGAATCAAATTTGATTATTTTGGGGGAGCAAATGCTGTCAAGCCTAAAGTTTAATTTTTACTCTTTGGTTAGAAATATGTGCAGTGTCCAGGATTTCGAAGAAGGAAATAGGCCGGTGTTTCAAACTTATTTTGAAAGCTCTTGAAACCAGTGTTGATCTGATTACGACTGGAGACTTCATGTCAAGATTCTGTTCCAATCTGGGTCTTCCCAAACAAGTACAAATGGCGGCAACACATATTGCCCGTAAAGCTGTGGAATTAGATTTGGTTCCTGGGAGAAGCCCTATCTCTGTAGCAGCTGCAGCTATTTACATGGCATCACAAGCTTCTGCAGAAAAAAGGACACAAAAAGGTAAAACCTTCACTTTTTCTTTTTTTTTCCTTCCCTTCCCCACGTCTTGCTGCTTGAAAGAGAATTCAGTGTTACTGTAAAACTCGCATGAGGTCTGTGCAAGTAGTGGTAAGTTGCCATTCTAATTGCTACAGCAAGGACCAAACGAGGACCTCCCGCTCCCCAAAATGAGAATTGAGTAATTGGCTATGCTCAATGTAAACTGAGTTCGCTTTCTTCTGGCACTAGGAGTTGGATTCTTGAACGCAATAGACCAGTGCATTCAAATGAGCATAATTTTGACTTCACCCGTGCTAATATTTGCATGTGTACATTCTGCTGCTCTAAAATACTCCAAACGCAAGCCTGGGGGCAGTCGCGGGTAGCACGATGGCTTTAGATTACATTGAGTCTTTAATCATTCTAGCAGCCAGGGAATCGCCTACATCAGTACGTGTTCCTTGACTTCTTGCGAGCCTGTGATAAAGATCGAGAGCGGTGGGACAGCAGGCTTGGCCGTAGATCACCTTTGCCATTACCCTCTTCTGGTAGGGCAGCCCTTGGGGACGCCAGTAAAGAGTTCAGGGCTGTTCGTGCGCTGCCGAGCAGCGTGTGGATCAGCCTCCGGGGCGCGAGGGAATCAGGCCTATGTGGGGGCAGCACATGGAGACGGAAGGGAGCTGAGGCTGCGGTGGTTAGAACTTGGTGTGACAAATGGATCCAAGTGCTGGCAGCTGGCTGTGGAAGCTCCGTTGATGTGTCTAGTCCAGATCAGACATGTTAAAAATCTAGCAATTCCTTAGCGGAGAGCTGCTTTTAGGTAACGAATAGCCTTTATCTGTCAGGTTGTGGTGCTTTGTTCTGCATTAATCATTGCTTATTCTGTCCCTGGAGCTTTCATCATGTTGGCAGTTTCCTGGGCGTGTGAGTGATCTAGAGCCCGAGCAGCATGGTGCCTTCATCCTTGCTCGCCTTGAGCAATCGAATTATGCCTTAAGAGCGATCGTTAAAACAAAATACATCTGCCTGCCATGGATACAGACATGGCTCCATACTCCTTCAGTGGCCTCAGACAACGCTGAAGGCTTTCGTGCAGTTCAAGGTTTAAATTCCAAACTTGGTTAAATCTTGAATAAATTTAAGTTTCTGTGCCTCTCAAACAAGTGTGTCCTTTGCTCGTTGAACAGTGCTCTGTGCCTCTGACGTATTTCTCTGTGCATTTTAAGGTAAATGTATTTCATGTTTAGCAGAAGGTACCGCGCTTTGTCTGTGCCGAAGTTTTTTGCTGTTTTTGCTTATTTAATTAAAGCGCAAAAATGAAGATCCTGATGTTGATGACGATTTGTTAGAATATTGCCGGGCAGATGTGGAGTTTGCAGTAGATGTTTCTAATGACTTTTGCACTTTTGGCCCTCTGCCAATTTGGAACCGATACTATTCCCAGATTGATAGCCCAAGTTGAATTATGGCACGTGAGAAGACAGACTTATGCGTGCAAAGTATTAGTCACCATGGTTAAAACCATTTTTACCAGGCTTTTGGGAGAGTTACGAATTAAGCTAAGCGCATAGCACTTCTCGATTAAATTACGGTCGCTGTTTTTTTCAAATGGCAAAAGTAAAAGCTAACCGCTTATCTGCTTTTTGTCTTAGAAATTGGCGATATTGCTGGTGTGGCTGATGTTACGATCAGGCAATCGTACAGGCTGATCTATCCTCGAGCTCCAGATCTCTTCCCAGCAGACTTCAAGTTTGATACCCCAGTAGACAAACTACCACAGCTGTGAAATTGCAGAGGGTTACTTTTAATTTCTATTAAGAAAAACCCCAACAACAACAAACTTTTTTTGATTTTTGCCTATAATAAAGGATGTACAAAGTGTTAATATTGAGTCTTCATGTTGTGGAACTGGAGGATATGGAGATGGAGCATAACTGCTGGAACGCAGCACACATTCCAAGGGTAAACAAGCTCACTGTGTGGCATTTTGTATGTATATATTAGTGGAAGTAAATATTTAATGACTGTTGCAACAAGCTTTCTTTCATATTGTTGTACTTATTTAGATTTCTTTTGTAGGGATCTAGTAAGATGTATTTTGGAAAATTTAAAAATATTATGTAATTCCCAAATAAACTGTTTTCCAAAAACACTTACCATCTTGTGAATATGACTGCAACTTGACGGGCACATGCTGTTCCACGTGCTGAGAACTGGGATGCAGTCCATAGAACGGTAGAGTTAGCTTCGTGCTTACGGACTTGGTCACCAGGCTGCTTAAATGCTCGCTTTCTTGACAATTTTTAATCTCCAGTGTGGCTGTACGGTAGAGTGTGGATGACTTAACCCAGAACGCAAGCAGTTGCTGAAAAGCGGTTCGAGTATGTGCGCAACTGCTGCTGAAGATTTCCAAATTCGTTGTGAAAGGATTAGTCGCATCCTTGGCACAATCTCCCCGACTTTCACTGATGTCTCTCTGCTTTGCTTCTGTGAATTTGACGTAATGACAAAGCAGCTAAAGAGAAACGTAAGGACTCCTGAATTCCTGACAACCTTGTGATGCTCGGTACTGCACAAAGGAAGGTAAAAAAGTATTTCCAGTAGAAGTTTCTGTTAAATGTTCTGACCTCTCAGTCCACCCTGCAGTCTGGCTGGCCCGTGGCCAAGCTTTTGGCACGGTTAGGTTCGAAGTGAGCACTTGCTTGTTTGAAATGATGTACCAGGTGCTGAGGACCGAAGGCCAGAAGTTATTCAGCCCTCCCCAAACTAACAGCTTTGAAAACTAGTTGCCTCCTGACAGGGTCCCTCTGTGTGCGAAGCAACAACTGTACTTAACTGGGAGTCTTCTGGTTCCCGAGTTCCTTTTCTATCACAGGTGCAAATTCATTTTGATTTACGAAAATGAACAGCTGAGGGGTCAGCTTGCTGCACATCTGGTCCTAAGCTGTCCAGAGGGAAGGCTGTGTGTCCAGTGCTAATAGCACTAATTGTCAATAGCCCTCACTGTTTTCTTCCTGGTTTAGTTTTAATCCTCTTCCGCCAGTCGAGACTATTGAAATGTGGCAGCTCAAGGGTTTTTTTTTTTTTCCCTGTAAACAAGTAACAAAGGCTGTTACGCCACCGGAGCTGTTGGTTGCAGTCACGAACAGTTCTGGTGCAGATGTTAAAGGTGGTGGTCTTGGTAGTTTGGAAGGATCGTATTCTAATGTCTAATGTATTTCCTTAAACTTTGTCGCAACGTTTTCTATTACTTGGGCTTTCCCTGTCTTGCTCCCAGCTACTCTGTCCACCTCCTCTGTGGGAGAAGGCGTGATGCTTTGAATAGCCAGGGCCCGACCTTTAACGTACTGTTACAGTTTAGAAATGCAAAGGTGAAAGTTCTTTTACCGTGAGCGTACTTTCCAGCATAGATCAGTGTGTTAAATCTACAACGTGCAGGTTAAAAATGGCTGAAATGTGCATTTACAATAATGCTCTTATTTTAAATGCTTTCAGGCATTATGCATGAGCGCTTGACATGTGAGTGGTGAGTGTTTGCAGTTGAAATTGTTATGTACAACAAAAGCTGTCTGGACTGAAATTGAAATGCATCTGCGCAAAGCTCTGGAGCGGAGCAGATGAGGCAGGGACATACTATCCTGGCTTGACCCTGCCTTTTCCTGCAATTCCGCAAGCAGTTCCGGGACCTCCCTCGGTGCGGAGATGGTAGTAACCGTGCGGCCCAGGGAGGTAGAACGAGGAATATGCTTGAAGGGGCCGTATATTCTGAAAACCATCGTCTGCTGGGACCAGTAGTAACTGGTTAATGTGGAGCATTCCAGGAAAAAAAATAGTATAACTCTGAATTCATTTTTAGGCAGTTACGACCCCTTTAGTAAGCTGCTTTGATGAAGCTAAGGAATTTGGCTTCTCCTACAGAAGCTTCTCATTCAGAAATGAGCTCTCCTTGTTCCTGGCTGGGGCACTTTGTGGCTGTGGGGGATGTCTGTGCAGCTGCGTGCATGGTACACCAGCAGTTCTCGGGGTTGCAGGGATAGGCGTGGGGAGCTGGAGAGGAGGCTGTTGCAGCTCTGCAGCATGGTTTAGCTAATTACCACCTTCTTGTGTTACCGAAGCTACGTGGTAGCAAAGACAGTATGACAAGTAGAGCCTAAAGTGCAAGCGAGGAGAGTGGCTGCAGTTCAGGTGCTCGTAGGTTTGGGGTTCTCTGCTAATAGGTGTACGTCGCTGCTGGGAGGTGGTTCAGCAGCGAGCCTGGGAGAAGACGGGAGTGCTGAAGGACTGCATTCCCCACACACAAAGGCAAGGGCATAGCATCTTCGGGCACTTCCTATGTTAATTCAACTGCAATTTAGACTAGATATTTGAACCTGTATCTTCATTTGGAGCCAGCCCTTTCTGGAATGATTGCGTAGTGAGGTGTTGAAGTGAAGCGTCTCTAGGCAATGGTCTCATGTGAAATTTTAGTTTGTTCTTAAGAGTAAAGATTTGTTTTCTATGTGCACTCGGAGAAGAAAGCTTCACTCTCTGCTTAAAGAGCAAGCTCACTGGGGGCTGGGTACGGGTTTTTGTTTGTTTACAGAGCTTTCCTATGTAATGGGGAGGGGGGGAGAGACTATAATGAAGAAGTACCCAAGAGGGGAGTGAGGGTTGTCTCCCCCTGCCCTCAAGGGAAGCCTGTGAAGGGAGAACGCTGATTCAAGCTGGCCAGACGGCAGTAGGCATGGTCTTCTCCTGCTCCCTTCAGAAGGGCTGCTCACCCAAGCAAGAGGGGGCTACCTTCTTTCAGCCTCAGAAAGAAGGCATGCTCGGAGGTAACTACTTATTTTGATTCTTAAAAAAACCAGAAGGAAGTACACTGAGCTACCACTAAGAGATGGGGTTTCTCTAAGTCCCTCCTGACTGCAGGATAACTTTTCCAAAGCTGCCTGTGGAGAAAACATGACAAGACATTTCAAGAAACAGGAAAATCATGTTTGGGACACAATTTACAAATTACTCTATTTAAAACTTTAATTTGTGATATTAATGACTGCAAAACACTTAGAATGACATTTGTTAAAGGCACATTTCATTTTAATGCATAGTGTACCATTCTAAAATATCCTAATTTCCTTACAAAGTGCTTGAGCAGCCACATACAGATAAAGTATAGCAAAATATATTTACAATCTAGGGTTTAAAATCTTAATCTGCCTAAAAATATTTAAAAAACTACAGAGATAAAATTAGTGCTTTCTTTCAGCTTAACTGGGTGAACATACCCTGCCCTCTAATTTTTTTTAATTTTTTTTTTTTAGTGATTTACTTAGAGTAAAAAAAGATTTCTGTACAAGATGTAGTTACAAAAAGGCATTTTTGAGGATACTTTCCTAAGTGTTAAGCACCCTGTTAGATGCTCATATATATATCTGGGAACCAAAAAGGGTGAGTGAACTGACTGTACCTCAAAAGCATTGGTTTCAGCTAGATACAGGAACGTAATTTGTTTCTTATTAATTAGAATCTGGAAACAAGTAATGCTGAAAAGTTGACTCACTCCGCCAAACATGATTCGTAGAGCTGGTAAAGATGCCTTCCTTCTTCCTGCGGGGGGATGCCTGATTTAGACCTAGTAACCATTTTTTTTCCCCCCCTCCCTAAGCCTCTCCCCTGCCTGACCCTGCAGGTCTGTCCAGCATCATGACTTCACACAACTGCCCTGGCGTTGCGCACTCAGGTGGTTTGCATTTCTTCTTTGAAGGAATAAAATTACAAGTTCTGAATTCGAGTGCCGATTCTCACTGTCTTAGCCCATGAACAGCAAACTCCTGGCTAGGATGAACCTGTGAGATTGCACGTGCAATCAGCTCTGGATGGCGCCAGAGCTAAGGACCACGTGGGAAATTTATTTTCCAAGAATTAATGTTTGCCCCCAGAACCCCAGATGCCAAAAATGGGTCTTGGTTTACAAGTATGCACAGTGTCTGGTCTAAATTATTTTTCAACTTTTGAGGTACAGCTTTTAGTGTTAAGGGGTTTATAAAATATACACTGTTTTTATCAAAAATATTTATACATTCCGTTACAACATATTGCTTTTACCCTCAGTAACTGCCAATCTAAGTTCTGGAGTTCAGTGGCCTATATGTATACAAATATTTTTTTTCACTCAGAGTTCTATGTTGTTCACTCGGCCACTGTGCAAAATGAATGAAGTGGTATAATTAAATTACTTGCCCGGGCATAAGAATACATTACAACTTCCAAATATACATGTTCACAGCATGTATACATTGAAAATCCTTATGTTTTCTAAAAGTGATATGATATTGTACAGCAGACAGAGGATGATCTAGGTGGTTAGCTACAGACCGGGTTAACTTATCTGTCCACTCGGTGAGCAGGAAAAGCATGAATTTGAGTACAGAAGTGGATGGGCTTGGGAAATGCACATGCTTCGCTCTGCGGTTAGACTGAGCAATGTCCTTGTTACCCTCTTCGCATCGACCAGGGTTTTAAGCCATGCTTAAAAAGCTTGAAGGCAAAACTGTTTGGCAAGTGGCTTTGGTAAACTTTCTGGATTTTTCTCTGTAATGGAAGCACTTACACCGTTGTTATCTCAAAGGCAAGGCATTTAACATTTTTCCTAATAAATACCATAGAAAATTTACAAAACAAGGCGTATCTGTTCAATCTCAATACCGTTCTTTTAAGAACACAAGATGAAGGTGTACATAGAAATGTGTAGTTTTATAGACTGCACAAGATAATATTTAACTGAAACCATTTGCCTTCTCCAGCTAGAATCACGTTCTGTGAGAGTGTCATCAGTATCCCAAACTTCTGTGTCAATGTGGCTGAGTAGGGATAAGCGATCGCCTAGCTCAAAGTCTGCTTTTCCCACTTAAGGCAGATACTTTAAAAAGGGATGTTATCTGCTGTAGGAGAGTGAGAGAAACAGTACAGATCCACGTGTGCCCGTGTGCGGGAAGCTTAATACAGCCTGGGTTCACCGACTCAGCTTAAGAACTCCATAGACCTGCTTTCCAGTGCTCAGATAAAAAAAACAATATACAAAGAGGCCACTCTTCACAAGAGCGTTAAAACAGTACTTAAAAGGGTCTTCATGTGATTTAAAAAAAACCAGAAGCTACAGGTGGCACAGAGAGCAATTGAAGGGTCGGTATTCTTCTGAGAGAGGCATTCTTGTGAGCCAGTCAGCTGGGGTTTCACAGTGTCTAGAAGTTAACACCAATCAGCAATGTAATCAAAATCTCTGAACATTTCCTGCTCTTCTTCTGAAAGTATCCTTGGTTCCCGAGGTGGAGTGAGGATAGGTGCTTCAGAGGTAAATTCGTCATCAAAATTACTAACATCTTCTCGACCTCTAATGGTGGGTACAAAAGGAGGCTTCACTTTCTTGGCCAGTAAAGCACTCCAATCTATTAGCTGTAAAAGAAACCAACTGATGTTTAGTTTCCTGTCTCTACTCCTTAGTGTCCTTAGAAATAGTAGTAGTTTGTACTCACCCTGAAGAAGTGATGCTTTTTCACATCCTCGGCATCTTTCTCTCCAGCTCCAAGACGCCGCTCTGGATTTCTTCGTAGCAGCTGACAAAACATGTGAGATTTCAGTGCAAAAATTCAGGGGTAGGGGGAGGAACTAGGGAGGGTGAGTGCTACTGTGTAAGAGCCAACACCTAGATTAGAGGGACAGTGAAGTTCATACTGCCTCACCTACAGAAAATTCTTGGTCCTCAGCAAAAGGGAAAGACAAAATTTAGATGTCTATAGCTAGAGACAGCAGTGCTCTTTTACAGATGCCTGAACCTGTTTGTTGGCGCAATTCCACCAGCAGCCTGGCTATGAACAGAGCAGACTGATCTGTCCCGCTGCAGATCTGCGGTACCGAGTCTTGGTACCCGAGGTGATTCGTGGGGCTAGCGTTCAGCAGAGAGGTATTGAAAAGCGTGCTTTCTGCTGGAGAGGATACAGAGTTTACATAAGCTAGTATTTCTTGCTTGGCTCAGAAGAGACTACTCTGCTGTCTCCTGTGCCCAGCTATTTCACAGCGGTCGATTTACCAAGAGGGGGTGGAATGCTGCTTTACACACCCAGCCAAATAAAAGGCTTTTCTAGTTAACACCAGAAGTCCGATGCTCCCACTTGTGAATCACGCTGCTGCGAGCTGACCCCTGTTCCAGGCAGAGTGCCCAGCGTCAGGGTGGGTTGATACATTTATGATGCAACCATCAAAAAATAACGTCTACTGTATTCCGTAAGAATTCCTCAGATGGGAACAGTGCACGTACAGCTACAACTAGTGAACTGCAAGCACAAAGTTCACGGTACACGTATTCTGGGTGCAGCGCAGCAGTCCCCTGTGGATATCGGCGTGGTAATTTTCACCGTAAAAATACCCTCCCCGGGTACTGCCTGAAAACTGTATTCTTCTTCCTTCGTTCTCTAGACAAACACTCTCTCCCTGGGAGTAAGCAATCACTTTAAGTAATAGCATAAATATTCTATAGCTTAAACACTTATGTCACAGTAGTTACTGTGACACGCTTTAACTTACATGCTGCAGCACGTTGCTGAATTGGATGCTAGACTGCTATTCAGTGTCAGACATTTGAAGTTGAGAGGCTGCTTCTGAAGGCTTTGAATCGCCGCCAGTAGACGCCTTTTATCAACTGTGATTGATAAGCTTCTACCTTAGACAGGTTCAAGCATCTTCTTTAGGTAAGTAGAGGCATTACATTAAGGAATAGCACTAATAACAATCATAAACAAAATCAGCTGTTCTTTGCCAAGAATGGGACTGCAGATGCCATGCGTACGGTGTTCCCTGCCCCAGTTGGAATGGAACCAAAAAGATTTAGAAGTCTTTGAATTAAAATATTCATGTGACAATGTTAATCTACCAAATAGGTCAACGCAGCAATGTTCTGCTAGGAAAAGAGAGCTGAACTTCTCTAGTTAGATACAAGTAGGAAACTTAGTTCAGGGAGAAAATAGAGCCTCTAGTGTTTTACATTTTAAAAAGAAAAACTTGCTCCTGAATAAAGTGGAACGGCACTGACAATTTTCACGTAAGGTGATAGGCAGCGTGGCACAGCATAAATGAAGCAAGTCTGAAATTTAACTGTAGAAAAGAATACCAAGCGTAGGTTCTTAAGGTATTTTGTTCCTCACAAAAGTAATTAGTTTCCTTAATGTTGGAAACAGGATAAGAGGGGAACACGGTAATATTATTGTTACATTCTTACCCGTCTCATTATAGAGATGGCTTCTGTAGACAGAAATCGTGGATATCTTACTTCATCATTTACAATACTGTCAAACACCTCTTCTTCATCATCTCCAGGGAAGGGAGACTATAAGGAAAGTAATAAAAAACTACTATTAAACAGGCTTAAAAATCACTTACAATTGAAAACAACGTATATTCAGCTGACAGTTTGGAATTAGACACCCTGAAATGAAGTCTTCCTTTTCCCAGAAACAGATACGGTAGTTTTCCATAAGGAAGAGTAGAAAAGTAAGGCAAGTTGGTGTTATCCCTTAATTCTTACTGAAGGACTATGCTTTAAAAATGCGCTTTTAGAAGTAGAAACACCTAAAACTGGAATCTTCTTTGAACTCTGACACAAGATAGACGGGGAATGTGGAAAGTACGTAGAATGTGGAAAGGCTCCTCTTTGGAACAGCTGCCATTCACAAGTAAAGTGGTCAAGACTAATTTGTTTTCATAATATCGTTAGCATGTCACAGCTCAAGGGTTTTCAAACTATTTTGAAGTGGCCTGACAGATGTAGGCGACATTCTACAAGCTTTTTGTACTTTTTTACCTGAAAGGAAGCAAAAGGAAGTTGAACGATCATCTTTTTTGAAAAAGAACAAAATGATGAGCAAATCTATAGTTTTTCTCCCGTTTTTAGCATGTAAGCCATCACTGTGCTACCTGGGAGATACTAAACCAAAACGGACCAGAAGGTAAAGCAATATACGCAACGGTAAATAACTATTCAAATAGTAATTTATTTATGCCAGCTCATTTACATGGAACTGGGGCATTCTGTTTTAGCGCATGCGTAATTCAAATGGTAAACAGCACTGCGTTTGGCACAATCTTTCACTGCTATCCAGTTTTATGCATTAAAGTTCGCTTCCATTCAAGCTCCAGGAGTTAAGGAGTTTATTTTCTCCCCCAAAGCATTTGAAAGCAGAAGACTGCTATAGCTGTACACATCCAAATTTGACGGTAACAGGTGTGTGCTGGAAACTGAGCTCCCCAAAACCAGATGTGCTCCGTTCTTGCTTAGGAGACATTGATATTAATGTGCCATTACTGTAATTTGATTTAAGGCAGAATGACGTAATTAAAAGCAAACCAAAACAAAAACCTAGAGATTAAGTCTTGGACCAGCTACAACTCATTCACTTCCACAGTTGCTGATAATTCAAGCTCATGACATGACTCATCAACTTCTATAGCATTACAGCAGCTCGTATCAGGTAAGTAGCCGCTCAGTATTTAATACTTCTTTTTCTTGATGAAACACATTAAGATGCTCACTGTAAAACGAGGTATGCCTATACATACTGTATGTACAAGTATTGATACAACTGTGACGGGTAGGGCATAGTAAATGTTGACAGGCTGGTATCTTCAGCTGTGTAACCTTTTTAAGGTATGTTAGTTTTATGACTCCATTGTATCTTACTAGAACTTACCTCACCCACTAGCATCTCATAGATAAGTACACCAAGACCCCACCAGTCTACAGCTCTTGTATAGGAAGTTTCTGTCAGCACCTCTGGAGCAAGAAATTCCGGTGTGCCACAGAATGTGCTTGTTCTGTCTCCAAATCCCATTCCTGAAAAGTTACAGTTAATGAAAAGCAAGCAGTATTTTCTGCCACTCTACAACCTGTTCCTCCAGCAAGTAAAACCTCTCTCTAGAGCAACTTCAGCCGATACTGTAGTTCCAGGGCCTGTCCTGAAGGCTCAGGCCAATGAGGTAAAACGCTCCCCCACTCTTCCCTCCCACGCCCTCGTTCCACGTGTGCATCAGTTTTAAGTTTTTCTATCCCTAACTATATGCAATGAGCCAAATTAAGCTTCCAGTTACACCTCTGTCACCCAGTTATCTTTGCTTGGAAAGATACAAACGATCTTATGCTGTATTTCTACTAGCTGGTAGAAGAAAATGTGGTACGCTAGTTTCGTCAAACATGCCTACTATGGATGCTTCCGTAGTGGCAAAACTACATATAGTAAAGTAAAACATGGGAGTGTAGTGAAACAAGCCCTGTATATTTGCAGGAGGGGCACAGTTTGGGACATCAGCACCGCAAGGACTGATGTGACGCTACAAGTGGAGGTGCTGCAGAAAGCTCAAGAAAACCATTTATTGTAGTGGTCAGTAAACCAAAGAGCTTTCCTTGTCCTCGTTTCCTTTTGTCATTTACGGAACTTTTTTGTAGCTCAAGTCACAGGACTTGCCCTAGGATATTAAAGACAACAGTGATGTTTGAACACCTACCGAATTTACTAAATTCCCTCTTAGGCTACCTAAAAGGAAAAAGATATGAAGGACAGGCTATACAAACTGGAGAAGGAAACAGACCTTTCCAGATCTTCCCCCCCAATGGGGTTTGAGAAAGACACTGCAATTCCAGTTACTACCTCTATTTTATGTCGTATTTGAAAGGTAGCTGCCAGTAGTGGGATGCTTGAAAGTAACTTTCTAGCATCTAGGCTTCCCTTTTGGGATAAATTTCTCTATTTTAGTATACTTTGCATGTCATTTCCATATACTTAGAGTTGTGACTATTTCAGAATTAAAAAATTAGAGAATGAATTTGTAAAAAGTAAGAGTTGAGGTATGGATTATAATGGTCCTTGATTTCATTGTACAGCGTCAACATGTTTACGAGGAAAAACACCTAATGCTTTTTCTGCTAACTTGTAAAATGCAGCAGTATGCCTTATTAATAAACAGAGATACGATGAAGTAAGAATCAGAACAGGTGATGCTCACAACTGAAAAAAAAAAAAAATAGGGCTACGCTCAGATGCTCCTGATATTTCCCTACTAAGGAACTTCCTCCTATCTCCACAGTTGTACAATCAGAGATGTATTTTTTTCCTTCAGATGATACAGGGTAAGTATACACTATACACATTTGGCAGTCCAAAAGTCTCAAGGAACAGTCAAGAGTAAGACGGACTATGAAATTCCCCTAGAAAGAAAACTTAAGGGCCATTACCTTCTTTGCAAAGACCGAAGTCAGCAATTTTCACAAAGCCTTCTGTGTCCAGCAGTAAGTTATCCAACTTCAAATCTCTAAATGAACATTTGAGGACAAAATTGCATCACTGATGGTTCTTCAGCACTATTCAGAACAGCTGAAACTCATCTGTTGGAAATGGGTCAAGGACTACTTACCTATATACTATTTTGTGTTCATGTAAATACTGAAGTCCAAGAACCACACATGCAGCATAGAATCTGTTGAAAAAGTTAAAATTTCAATGGATTTTAGTCTTGCTTTTCAGAATGTGAAGTCCATTATTATTGATTTTTTTTTTTTTTTTTTTTTTTTTTTTTTTTAAATTAACCATGCTCTGAAGATTACCGATTGTTTTTTTGGGTACAGATTCGTTTTATACAAGGTCAGAGTTTTAAAGCCAGATGGCAAAAATGCTTAAACTTGCAGCTTTCAAGCTGTAGTATGTTTGCTTGGCCTGGAGGATAAGTTTTCTGTAGTGTCCACTGCCATGGCATTGAAGGATTTCTAATTGGGCTTATTCTTTCCTTTTTTAGCCCTGTCTGCTGTTTTAACTCTTCATTTAGCTTTTTTTATGTAATCTTTTAAAAAAAAAAAAGTATCATAAACATTAAATATTTGTATATCATTTTTGAATTCAGTGTAGATTCAGGCACGTTAAACCTGCATGTGTCTTTTTCTAACAAAACCAGTTAGAATCTCTGACCCTTTTAGAAAACTTAAACAGTATTTACTGAAACGACATAATGTAGAGGCATGTAGTGATAAAGAACTTAGTTTTTATCCACCGAACAAAAGACCTTCACTTAGCAGCACAAAAAGGGATGGATACTCACACTGCTCTTGGTTCAGAGAAGACATCAGTATGAATGTGCATCATCAGATCCCCACCAGCAGCATATTCCATTACAAAGCAAACGTGATCTTTGGTTTGGAAACAAGCAAAAAGGTTCACCAAGAAGGGATGTCTTACACTATTCACAGTTTCAAATATTCGCTTTTCACACATCAAGCTGCAAACAGAAAAATCAGTAAAAATTTAAGGCTGAATCCTGAACCACAATTTTTCAGCTCTCAGAAACTATTGGTAATTTATACCTTATGTTTTTTTCCTCTATTCCTCAGGATAAGGTAAGAACTTTTTTTGTTTCAAGAGAGAGGTTTTAATACTTGCACACACATTACGTTGATGCCAGAATTTCCACGAAGTTACATTTAGCTTTCACAAACAAAAAAGGAAACCTAGCAGCCCATGCAAATTGTACGCTGCCAATTTTCCTTCCAAATACTCAGACTTGCGTTAAGTATGCATCGATATCATGTGGCATTAGCTCCAATCCATTTTTATTTTAATTGTATACAATACATAAAGTGGAAAAACAGTAACAATATTATAGACATCTATCTATAGTAATTCCAGATTCTCTCTCCTTAAGCCAATTGGTTAATTTGTAGCTTATTCTTAATACAAGTTATCTTTCTTCCTGCAAGTCAAATGAATACAGTCACTATTAAACAGTTATAAAAGCACCTTCTTGCACTAAAACTAGGCAGTTTTGTAACCGCCACTTCACTTCCAAGCAAAGAAAAATCTGAGGTTTGGGGCAAAAAGATTAAAAAACAACCAACCAACAGTGGAGTATACAGAGGGCTTAAGGGAAAATGCGATGGAGAAAGTATGACAGTATGTCACAGGTTGAGGAATACCATCATAGATGTTTCTGCCAGTAAAGAAAACATAGTCACCGTCCTCCTGAAATGTGATGGAAGTCTATAGAACAAGTAATCGGAATAAATAATTGCAAGAGAACCTAAATGAAAAACAGGATCGGGTTTAAGTCAGATCTGTAGTACAGGTGTGGTAAGAGGGCACTAAAACGAATCAGTATGCCTGGGCTACACTGCTCCCTCCTTGCCCCAGAAGAAAGAACAGACGTCTGCAGCAGCCAACTAAGCAGGGAGATGACAACTTGTTTTGCTCTTTCACTGAATTTAACTACTGTTTGGTAGAGCTTACAGTTGTGTTGCATGCAGAAAGAAAAACACGATTTATGGAATCCATGTATCCATACGTTACAAACTGACCTGTCTACTTCATCACGAGCGACAATATCTCCTTTCTTTAAGGCTTTAATAGCAAACATCTCGTTTGTGTTTTTGTACTCTGCCAACAGCACCTAAACCAGAAGATAAGCAATTAATTTAAGAGCTATATTTAGTTTTTGATATAGCCTTGACATTCGATATAGCCTTTTGACATTTACCTTTCCAAAATGTCCTCTGCCCAGTACAGCACAACATCTGAAATCCTTCAGACTGAATTGAAATCTTTGTTGTGATCTATGTAAATAAAAAAAGTCAAAAATCTTCTAGTTTGTTAACTTTAAGAAATATTATTCAGATCAACAGCAAAACCACTGCATTTTTACCTTCTATCTTCAGGCTCTCGGGTGTTGGTGTATTTTATGTCTGAATGGGGAGCATCAGGCTCACGGATTATTTCAGGCTGGAGTTTTGGGACAATGCTATTTCTGCCATTTTCAAAATCAAAAGTTGTTACTTCATCCTGCGAGGAAAAAGAAGTCTGAAAATTTAAGACTGATTGCAAAGGCAAATTAATGCAGAAATTTCACTATAAGCATGTGAAATTCTTAACACAAGAATTATCTAAGCTAAAATGGTATACTTTAAGATGATACAAACAAGCAAGCTTTTCACAGACTGATGAGACCTATCGCTCTAGTCGTTCTGCTCTTTGTTAATAAAACCATTTTTTCCTGAATACTCTAATGATTTTGGGCTTTTGTTTTTTCTGTGGTGGAACCAATGACATGGAGAGTTAAACACACCAACCATGGAAACAGTTTGCCACCAAGAGTAATGGGAACATTCTGTTGAGACAATTCTATACGTGTAAGTTAAGTGAGCGTATGCTGAAACATAAGGGGAGAAATCCATCATAAAGATGCCAATATTACAACCTTGTTAAACTGTATAGCATGAAATTCTTAAAGTTACTTGCCTGAGATGGCACATCAGGAGCCTTTATCTCAGAGGAAGATTCACATATTTCCCCAAGGGAAGATGCACGGGGTGGAGCAGGTGGAGGCTCAGGCTCAAGTTCAAAGTCCAATTTGGCAACAGGAGAGTCACTGGCAAGAAAATAAATAACTCCTCAGTGTATAACAGAGACTGTTTTAATAGTATGAAAACCAACTTAAAACTGCACATTATGTAGATTTCTCCTAAAACAAATCTTGTGTGTGTAGATCTGTCTATAAAATGGGTGTCCAAAATTAAAACACTGAAGGGTCTGCAGTCTTGCAGAATAAACAGATTTGACGTACATTACGTACAGTAGGGCATAAGCATCTCATTGTTACTCTTGCTCTTCAAAGTACTTGAAAATTGTAGATATCACCCACCTGGCTGGCAGCGTTAGTTCAGGAATGTGTGCATCAACCACTGGCCCGCTGGCAGGCACTGGTGCTTGAGGGCTGAAGGTGCCAGAGTGATTTACTGTAGGAATAGCTCTTCTTACCAGCCTTCCCCAAGTGGCAATATTAATATTCATTTGAGGAGCTCTGAGAAATGTTTTGCCTGTGGATATTGTGAAAAAAGAAAATAGAGTGCAAGTAATTTCCTTACTTATTACCAAAAGCTATAATTAAAAAAAAATCATATTAATCAGTTTATAGTTTCTGAAGAACAAACTGAATTTGTCATATTCCTTAGCAATTCCTAATTATTCACTATTAAATGCTAATGCATAATAAGGAATTCTAAAACAAAACACTTCTAAATGCAATGCCAAATCCTTCATTATCAACAGCTTTATTCACAGGCAAATGTTAGGTGTCTGAAATCATATTTCAGTTTATAGTTTCTGAAGAACAAACTGAATTTGTCATATTCCTTAGCAATTCCTAATTATTCACTATTAAATGCTAATGCATAATAAGGAATTCTAAAACAAAACACTTCTAAATGCAATGCCAAATCCTTCATTATCAACAGCTTTATTCACAGGCAAATGTTAGGTGTCTGTATAAAAAAAGATATATCACAGATATGTACAATTTTTAAGCTTTACATGTTCATATTAAACAATCACCTTGCTGTTTTGAAAAAATTTTCTTCTGCCTCTGGAGTTTTGGTCTTCTTTCAATAACTGGATTAAAAAACGTAACCTGCAGTTCAAACAATGTGTGTTATAATTCAAGTTTCAGAACAAAATGCATTCTTAAAAGTTTAAGAAAAACTTCTTAAACTATTCTGCAACATAATACTTGCAAGTATGCTCAAGTGCTTCAAAGAAACCTTCTTACCTCTGCAAACAGAGTGCCCTGGGGCTCAAGATAGAGACACATGCCATGCCGTTGGTTATCCAGGAAATCTTCCAACCTCAGAAACTTTACTGCACACAAAGATCTCCAGTCACGCCAATAAACTGAGATTTCTAATTCACGTGACTACGACAGGAAACATATACACAGGAAATTACTTACTAGTAATCGTTCTGCAAGAGTCACCTCTGTACAATCATAAGATCTAGCAGCTCAAGGATCAAGATGCAGAGCTGTTACTTTAAAAGAGTGCCAGGGCTAACTAGCCATACTGGGCAAGCTCTCACTGGGATGATCGTAGCATTTCACTTCAGTTCAGATGTGATCGCCAGGGTCCAAATAGAAGTGTAAGTGTAGAATTCCCCCAAGAGTAGAGTAGAAGGAGAGAGTCACAAACAGTCACCGGACTTTTTGAGTCAGTCTAACAACAGTGCTAGTTCAAGATATTTTAGCTCAAGCTCTGACAACAAATTTTTACCTGTGTTTAGAAACCTCAACTTTACTAGTTTTCCATGTTATAACAAGTATCAATTGCATTTCACGGCTGCGTGGTGACATTTTAGTACCTGCATACCCATCATGATGCAAGACTTTATACAGTATCTCTAGAAATACATAAAGTTTTTGTAACATGGTCGCAAAGAGGGGCCAAAAACTTTAAACTAACAAGAACTACTGCTGTATCTTGCTGGTGGGATTTATATATTCTTAAGGTGTCCTATATGCCTGTTACAAAAGCTTGTTACAAAGTGTGAAGATTCCTGCAATACAATATAGCAGCAGCATTGTATGTTACTGAGTTCTTTCAGCATAGTTTAATTCCATCACAATGCATCAATTTACTGTCTTTATATGACAGCTGTAGGTTTTAAAAGAAACAAAAGCAGCAACAGATAAGAAAATGATGGGGTTTGGAATGTGCATTTCAAATACAGAAGGATGCGTGGTCATGCCCAGCAGAAGCAAGGTCCTTTTCTGGCACCAAAAAGCATCTAATATTGAGGTCTTAAATAGCGAACATGACACATACTAGGCTGGTAGGAGCAGCTACTGAACTTTGACTAGTTCTAGTCTTAATCTGAGAGTAATCAAGGCTTCAGGACGCCACAGCTGCTAGTTTTGTTCTGCACTGCTCCTAACCGGAACCTGAATTTCTCTACCTGTAGGTCTAAAACTGCTTCCTTCCTAGATGGAAAGAATCTGGTTTGGGGCTCGGAGGGGTGGGGCTCGGCGGGGAGAGAGCAAAAACAGGAAGGTGGCTTTTTTTTTTTGTTTTCTCATTTGTTTTAAATATATACTGGAGATGACATATAGGCTCTTCAAATATAGTTTAATTTTCAGTCTATTTTAAAAACTGATGGGAAAAAAAAAATCCTTGTACCATAAAATACTTACTATCAGGTATCTAAAAAACAAATGCTTGATTAAACCTATATAACATAAATTCTCTTCAAAAGGTGTGAGGAAAGAAACATCAAGTATCATTTCGATACTTGCGTCCTCCAAGTAACATTTGAAGTTCTAGGAAAGAACCGTTAGTGAATTTATTTATTATTCCTGAAGAATTGATCAGCTTCACATGAGAACACTTTTACAGAAGCACTGTAAAAATTCTATGACATAGCTTTACCAAAATATCCAAACTATATCTGATATTAGAATTTATTGATAAATAATGAGAAGTTGGTCCTAATAAAAACTTAAGCACCGTCTATCACAGGGTAAAAAGATGCTAAGTGTTAGATCTTGGATAAAAGTGTTATGTCAGTTTGTAGGCCAGAAAAGGTAAAATTTCTAGAATGCCAGCCCAGTGTAACAGCTTACCCCCAGGGAGCTCATTCTGTTAAGGATGGGAACACTTGCACATATGAAATTTGAACATGATCACAACAACAGGAAGAAAAAAAATAAAGCAACATGAAATTAATCTAAAGAATCGACTATAGCTGTCAATGAAGTAAGACCACATTTTTACCCTGTCTAGTTCCAGTGTAAATTTCTGATCCCATGACTGATTGGAAATAGGTTTCCAGCTAGTTTGACCAACCACAGTGTTATCCAGCTTCAGTACAGCACAGACTTCATCTGTAAGTAAAGTACACAAACTCAGCTTAAATCTTTAAGAAGATTTTCCATGAACAAAAAAAATCTTCAGTAAGTTTCTCTTAAAAATGTAATCTCATATTTAATTGGTTTTTATGGGCATAATAGTGTGGTTGTGTTTTGGATTTCTTTTTTTTTTTTTTAAAAACAACTTGACAGATGAAGAAACAAAGACGTTTAAAGCTTCAAATCAATGTAGATTTTAAGTTACAGAACATGGCATGCACATTAAAATGTAAATAAAAGATATGCATAAAAATAAGAGAAGTAAGAGTATACTGAACTGGACAAGTCATCAGTTTTCAGAAGGTTTCTACTACTCCCACTTTTACTTTTACTGGTTCTGCTCATGAAAGATGATCTGGCTTCATTTGGACTCCAACCAGGTAGCGTAATTGATGTGGCTTTTGATCGACCAGGGACGTTTTCCAAAATATCTTGGCAGCCCATTAGCCTAACTTCCAGGGTACCTAGAACAAGACAGACAATGATTTTTCAAAGATTTCTGTTCTTAAGTAAGCAAAGTGAATGACTAATGATTGATTTATGGCAATAGCTCACATTCTGACCCTCGCAGAGTGTAACAGAAATATCAGATGAAATCAAAAGACAGATCTAAGACAGACAAATGTACTGAAAATAAGCATTAAAAGTCAAATATGTGGCACTCAACCTTCTGGAAGGAGCAACAGTTCACCAAAGTAACACATTGTTTCGGTAATTAAAATAAACACATTGACTATTGAGACTACAAATTTGTTTAAGATACATTCAGAAGTCACGTTTGCCTGCTGCATGCTAAAGACAAATTTGAGTTAGTACATAATTTAAAATCATTGAATTGTTCCAACTTGACTGAATTTGGATTTATAAAACTCATACAAGAAGCTACTCTTCAAAATCTTCTACATCTTTAACCAAATGAGGTATAGAGGCTGCTGTTCTAATTTAAAAGAGTTTCCTCCAGCAGCACAGAAACATCTGAATACCACAGATGGTTACAAGAACGGTAGGACTTGCCTCATCCTGTACAAGATAGCATCTGTAAAACTGTGACACCACCGACACTAACAAAATTAACTACTAGAAGTGGTGAAATTAGCCAGTTCATAATCATACTGTCAGCTAGAAATGCAGCTCCTAAATGCAGTGTTCTTTTGACAGCAAATGTACTTATCTGTGAAACTTAAAAGTACTCTTTTGTAACAGAAACTTAAGTCAGACTTGACCTAAAAACGGTCTGGCAACATTATAGCCCACAGAACAGACACCAAGAAACCAGGCTGAAGAAATCCCATCCTGGAGGGAACTAACAGCCGTTAGTGACAGCTAAGCATTAGGCTACAAAGACAAAGAGATGCTATTGGCCCCCAAAACAGGTTAAAAGGTAAAAGAATACTTAATTCCCTAACTCTGTTTAGGAAAAACCAAACAACCCCCCCCCCCAAAAAAAAATCAGAAAGGCTATAATCTTGTATAAGGACTGGATGCGTATCAGAAAGTTCTGTTGATGCACTTTAAAAAGTATGACAGTAGGACTGATCTTCTTTTCACAGTGTTAGAGGCAAAACACAAAGACACCGTTCATTTAAATCCAGTTCAATACAAAAGCTCTTTATGTAGCCAATATGAAAGTGAAACTATTAAGAACTTCACAAGCATGTAGCTCTGTTTTGATAATTCCTATTAGAAACTGTTCGTATGTATCAGTAAATCATGTTTAAAGAGGAATTATTTGTCACTATAATATATCTGACCCATGATTATGTATTACAGGAAAAGAATAAAAAAAAAAAAAAAAAAGCTGTTTTAAAACCAAGGCACGATGCTTCCTGCCCATGGTCACTGGCCACTTGAGATTCCATATGATGAAAAAAAGTTCCCCTCACTAAAAGTCTGCAACTTTACAATGGCTCTCAGCTGAAGTCCTGATGCTTTTTACCCTTTGCTACATGTCTTACTGAACCAAAATGGAAGACAACTAGACTCGCTCCATTTTATTATTCTTATTGCAGCTCAGCAGAAGAGTTCCTCTTTTTGTTTTAAAATAGAACCCCACGGTACTTCAAAACTAAATTCTGGTTTCAGTTATACATGTATAACTAGAGTAACATTTGAACTACAGATTGTTTTTTTTTAATAAACTTACTCTGTTAATAGATGGTTTAATAGTTACATGTAAAATGTTTTAGGAAACAAAACAGAAAACCAAACCTATCTGTACTAGTAATTCTTATACGACCATTTATTAAATAAATTTAGTAAAGCAACATACCCCAAAGTAGTCAAAAGTATTTGCTTTTCTTTAAGAACACTGGGAGGCAAATGTTTAAGAGCTTTGTTAAAGTACAGCTCATCTCTTGAAAGAGTTTACTTCCAATGAAGGACAATTCCAGGTGAACCCAAACTATGAGAAGTTCCTAAGTCTTACAGTCTTATATTTATATATAAATGTAACTGTTCCCTCACAGTAGGCCAAGTCTCTAAAAAAAAAAAAAAAAAAACCACTCCATGTTTAATCGCAAGGAAAACAATTCACACCAATAAATAGAGGCTTCAATAGTTCCACACGTTTGTTAGGATCTCCCTCTTTGGTTTAGAAATATAATGCATATTTTGGTAGCATACATCTCACCTTCTAGGAAGTCAGTGTGGTCCAGTGGGAAAAATAGGGACTGGGAGAAAATCTGGGTGCCTACCCTCCAGCTCTGCCACTGACTTGTTGTATGACCAGGGCAAGTCACTTAACCCTTCTGCACCTCAGTTCCCCCATCTGTAAAATGGGGATAATGATACTTACCCACCTTTTAAAGTGCCTGATAATCCAAAGATGAAAGGCGTTAGGTAAACGCTAGTAATATCATTCTATAATGACCTAACTTAAGGCCAGAACTTCACTTTTTCCAATAGGATTATAAAAAGGTCAACAAATAAATCAGAGAAACTTATCTGCATTTTTTTGGCACACAGGCACTTGGAAATTCTAAATGCCTTTGTCTAGGAGAACAACAAAGATGAAGTATGTCCAGAAAGAAATGAAGTCAGTATTAAAGACTTGTTTTAAACCATTTAATAAAATAAAATGCGCTCCATAAATCATACCTGTTAAAGCTGCTGGTTTGGACAGTGAACTATACTGGTTTTGAGTAGATATTACACTTTGACGAGGACTTAATGTGGGTGAGGAGACCAATGAAAGCTCCTCTATAATAATACTGCTTTTGGGATGGTTTTTAGGAAGTTCATTCAATCTCTGTTCCAGTGAATACTTCAAGAGGTCCAACTTCTGGCTTGATTCATTAAATCTTGCTTGCGCCTTTTTAAAATAAAAAAAAATTGAAATATTTCAGATTTTTTCTTGAAAGAACATTTAAAATAAAGTATCAGAAATTGTAATGACGTAAATTACTTCTGAAAGTGCCTTTCTGTCGGTAACTTTCCCAGATCCAAGTAATTTCATCACATTTTTTGCACCTTCTGCTACAGCATACTCTATCCTAAAATGATGCCGTAATTCTTCCATTCGGAGTTCAAGAGGGCTTATCACAGGTTTTGCTGCAAAGAGATATAAACAATCAATCTTCACTGAAGACAATACCCATGTTTAATTTCTTTAATATTAATCCCTCCCCCATATAAACAGAGGAGAGGGGAGAAAAAAAAGAAAAAAAGAAAAAAAGAGTGAGATGCAGATTTGGTAGTCCAAAGAAAAACTTGAAGTATGTCATAAAAGCAACAGTGAAATTTTAAGCATCTGCATTTGAAGGAAGAAATAACTGATCAGGGCCTCGATCCAATTAACAGGTCCTACTCCTTGAAGAGCTATAATTGCTAGAGGATGCGAGAAGAAGAACATGTCTTCAGGGGAGTTAAGGGACAAAAGCCAAATCTCCCAAACATCATTCAGCTGGCAAGAAGGAGATTTTGAGACTTCCACATTTCTGAACCACACTCTGAGGAGTTATCTTTCAAACTACTCTGTAGCTAAGTAGATCCCTGATCAGTTTCTGATAATTCTCCTGCTCCACACAAAATCCCAGGGAATCTGGCTTCTGCCAGCACAGAGAATGTAAGAGGTCCCATACACTGCCTTCCCCAAATGGATTGGGTTAACCATTCTAATGTCCACTTCTTAGTGTTTAGATTTCCTAAACAGAATGAGAAAGTTTCCTGGATATATTCCTTTCTGTTTAAAACTCTAACAGTAGTAGGAACACAAAAAGGCCTTTGAAAGCCCTTTCTAGCTTGAATACCTTTCTGTTTCTTTTGAACAAATGATATACATAATACATGTGCTAAGATGGTGTGTTAAAAAAAGCCAGAAGTGTCATAAGTGTAAAACAAACAAAGAAAACCACCCCCACACACACCCTGCAAAACAAAACAAAACACACGCAAGTTTTTCATTATCTAGGATATATCCAGGCCCTGATTACGAGCATCGTCATAAAACTTCAATACTCAGAAATGCATACGAATAAAGTTCAAGACTTAGAGATGTACCGATATGCCCACAATTTTATAGTACATTCATGCTATGATAGCTCAGGGGTAATTTTTTTTTTTTTTTTTAAATTTAAAGATTTCCAAAGAAATGCAAGTTTAAAACTACTTTTTAAATGCAGCGTGAGTATTTCAAGTCAGGTCATTTTAAAACCACTGATTTTTTTGTTGTTTTTAAAATAGTTGTTTACTACTCAATCTAGCCTAAATACCCATAAAGACAGCAAAAATTTGCCTCCATCTGTGCTCCCATTAGTAATAATAAGGTCGATCTATTCAAGTATGATAAGCAGGCTTTGTACCTATGTCGGATTTGTTTTTTTTTTTCTTTTAGGATAGTGGAAAGATTATATGCTTTAAAGAAAATTACTAGTTATTGTTAAGGCAAAAGAAAGCATGCATGAAGGGAGGGGGAAGACCACAAAGCAGAAATGGACTGCATAAGGTATAAAAAGGATGACGATGAGAGATTGTATTTCTCTTCATTAAGCTTAAGGTATTTTGCTTCAAGTCAGATGTATTTGGCATCCTAACACACACTATGGTATGCCTAGTCTCCGATTATTTCTGGTTCATGCAAGCTTTGTCCAACATTCCTACTAGAAATTTATGGTAACTGTGTGCATACGGGTACATATCTACATGGCATTCTGACAGTAATGATTCATAATTCCTTTCTACTCCATCACCATTATCAAAAGCCAATTCATTAGTCTGGACTGCCTGAAGAATCTGCATCCTTATAACTTCTATTTTTGTCTTGCTGTCCTGGAGCATCTGCTGAGCTGTGGCAAGAAGTTTTCGATCCTATTAAAACAAACAAACAAACAAACAAAGTTAAAATGGTAAACTCTTCATGGAACAAAACACATTGAAAGCTTCAAAACCCACGTGCTTTAGGAACAAGAACTAAATCTATGTAGTTCATTCAGTATAGCAGACCAATTCAACAAACCACATTAGGATATTAGTGGAAATTAATTTAGGACAGAGGCATATTCTGGTTGTTTAAAGACTATAAGCCACTCTCATGGAAACTGTATCTGTTTAAAGCTGAATAAAGGAGGCATGATCTAGCAACATTGCATGTGAAGATTAATGTTTTGTAAGCTGATACTAAAGAAAGGACAAATATTAAGTGCAAAATACCTCCACCCTACATGGAATGACTCAGATTTACTGTGAGTACGATGAGAACTCTTCTAATAGACAAATACGCTAGACAAAATCCATATAAAGATCATTGTACTAATTCACTCGAGCTGATTTTCAATCTTGAAATTAGAAATATGAAGGTAGCTTACATAGCACATTACAAATAAGTCTGCAGTATGTTTTTCTGAACAAATCAAAGCTGAAGATTTTTTTGCATTAATAAATACATAATATACGAGGGTTACTTCATTAGCTATTTCATCAGCAACTTAAAGTACAGTACTTTTCATCTAAAGAAACTAAGATAAGCAATTTTTGTTTTCAAAAGCAGTACCACAAGAAGCAGCTTAGAAGAGAACATTTCTGAAGATGAACTTTCAGACTAACTGAAAATACGATTTCATTGTCAGGAGCGCAGCCAGCCATCCACACATTTCTCAGGTATACCATTTTTTGCCCTCCAGCTACTGGAGATCTGACTTACAATGGATTATCAAATGGTTCTTGGATGTGGAACTGTGCATGTGCTTCTATGGCTGCTGCATGGCTCTCTCTATATGTTCTGGGAATTACCAGATAACTTAAAGGTGATCTGACTTGCAGTAAGAACAAAAAAAGGGGTATAAGAAAATTTAAGGCAGTCTATTTGTCCTGTCTGTGAGGTACCAATCAATCACAGTAATTAATAGTAGTCAGTGTAGATGAGTATCACACTTGTTATAGCCCAAAGGGTATTTTGGTTAACTCATTTTGTAGCCGCTCTATAACCTCATTAATAAGTTACTTTCCCATGGACATGGTTTATACTTATATTTTTAATTTTATAATGAAGTTATCAATTATTTAAGAAGTTAAAGAAATTAAATTCTTCCCCTTACCACAACCAAGACAAAGAACTGCAGTGTAGCACAGATACCCAGAGCTAGAAATACTGGCACCATGAAGTATACTGTGAGAAAAATCAGTATGCTGAGAAGAGAGAAATTTACCTTCATAGAGCTCCTTATGACCTTGCGCCTAATGCATTACTCAGATATTTTAATGCTGCCCTATGTTCCGCAGGGTAGATACACCAAGACATACACATAAAAAGGCTTTGGCTGCATGGGGAGAAATTGTGCCCCCTCTGCATACCAGAGTCTCAGAACTCTTGGTTTTAAGTTTTAGTTTTAATCAACATTTCAGAGAGATGCCACTAGTTCATATTTTAAGATTCCATGTTAGCTATCCAATTATTTAATGAGTACACTGAATTTCTTAAATAAATGCCTTCTCAAATACAAACATCAACTTTTGAAATAACCACCGTCTACAGCAGAGGATAGGATCTAAGTAACAGATTATAAGCAACTCTAGAATCCTGTATTAAACCTTATCCATGCATCATTCTGATGTATAAATATGCTGTAAGTGTTTCTTTGTCTGTATCGTCACTTTTATGGTTTTTTTTGATCTTGCTGCTCTTGATTGTCCCTCATATCCTCTTACTGCAATGGATTTGCTTGCTCAGGGGCAGTATCAGCCCTTCAATGCGTAGAATGGAGGTAATTCAGGATTATAGAGATATCCTTATGTTTTCAAGAGACAGAAAATCCCATCTTCAGAATCAAAATGAATGTGTTCTACTCAGCAGCTCTTTTAGTGTTGGAGGCTGAATACAAAGTATTTCAAGGCATCTCCTGAGTATAGAAGAACTGACAGTGCCTGTAAAACTGATCTGCAAAGCTGTCGTGGGATCTCAGAGAATCCAAACAAGTCCAAGGAAAGATAATCAATATCTCAGAAACACTTAAGTCTGAATAGGTTGAGCTGAATGTTACTGAAGCGAGTAAGTACAAAAGGAAAACCCTCCCATGAGATGATGGGTTACTATTTATTACTATTAACAGATTGCTTTTTCATTTTTAAGAAACAAATTATGACCTCCTTCCATTAAATTTAGGTCTGAAAATAATACAGTAAATTTGAAATTAGATCATATAGTACACTTGAATAAAGGTCACAAAAGAGTTTAATATGTTTTAAAGAGGGTCCTGCGACTACTTTTTAAAGAACTACTGGATTACCGGGGCTGGATTCAAACTGGGAATTTTCTGCGCCTTTTGCCCACCTCATCCAGACACTTGAGTTGTTTTAAGCTCTGCTTTTTAAAATGTAATCACCATACTCAAGCCTACAGTTTAAACCTGCCAAATTAACTCACTACTGAGTATTAAGAACATGAGAGAATGAATACGTACCATTTCCATCCTGTTTGTTGAAGCAGCTGGCAATGCTTTTGTGTTTTCCAGCTTGCTCTCCCCAGCCCAGTTACTATATACACCCAATCTGGTAGGCTGATTTAAGTATTTACCAATTGCAAATACAAGACTCAATCATCAATTTTAATTACATGCCTCAATCATAAAGCAAGCCAGAATTTATCCTTTCTACCTAGTCTGATCAAAGCCTGCTAACAATGTCTAATATTATAGCCTGAGTGTTTAGTTAAGTTTTTTCAGGCTGTTATAAGGTTACTTACTGAGGGTTTATTAGGAATATAATTCGTGTATGTCTTTTGATCCATTTGGGTCAGCTGCTTATTATTTTTAAGTGTACCTGATGTTAAGTACATGGCCCCAGAGGATGTAGACTCCAGGGTTTCCAGGAGCTGTGGCACTGTAGTGCATGGACAGCATTCCCAGGCCCTTAGTCATAAGGTGCACTCCAGATATTTCTTCCATCTGCCCCAGGGTAGTAGGTTATAGGTCACTTTCAGATAAGGCTACCAAAGTACCAGCAGGTTCAACAGAAGTGCTGCTGGGACAGAATGGGCTTGATGGCACCTACATTCCATCTAGCCTAAACTCATTTTTCTGGGGGTGAGCAGCATTCGTTGTAATTTTTTCGAGGTATAAGAAAGTCATGCAGTAGGCAGATGCAAAGTAATCTGCCTCTCCACCAGCCCCTAGCAGAAATTCACTCAGAAACATTAAATTCCTTTCCAGGACTTTTTGGTTAGTATCAATTATAAGGGGTAGCAACACAATTCACAGATGTCTACTCTTCAAGTCAAACACTTCTTTTTCAGAAGTTCACTGACCTAGCTAGGTGTCGGCTCAGTCAGTTAAGAACTTAAAACGTTTCAATTTTATTTACTGTTGTCTGTACACAGAAACATCTAACCAAGCTACTACATACTATTTGTTAGATCTATGCTTGTGTTTCCCCTTAGTTTGGAAATTCATCTCCTTCATGATTTAGTAAAAGTAAATGGAAAGAACAGGTAATGAGTAACTAATGAAGGGTGAAGGGGCAGGTGAGCAGAGGATTCCCCCCTCCCCCTCCCTTTTTTCTTATTTGAGAACTATGACTCCCTTATACTCATAAAATATGGGGGGGGGTTTGGTTGGATTTTGGGTTTGGGGTTTTGGTGGTTTTGTTTGGTGGTTTTTTTTTTTCATTTAAAAGTTTTGGCTGGTCTTTCAGCTGAGTTAAGGGATTCTTAGAGTATGATGAATTTTATTACATAGTTAGGATCATGTAATACATGAAACCCATTTAGGGGTTAGCAAACGCTTCCCCCCCACCTCCTTGGAGAACTTCTGATGCTATCAAGAGAAAGTAAGTGCAAGTGAGCATGTGTTTAAAATTCAGATCTAGAATTAAGTGTGGCTTTGTTTTTAATTTGTTTGACGCTATCAGATGCTACCTCTAGAATACCACACTTCTGTAAAAAAAAGTATCTTTATGTGTATTTTATGTGCGTGTGTACTAATGCAGATTATAACAACTCTATCAGAATACTATACACATCTTATTAAAACAAATATTTGGTACAAATCTTTTTACTGCCAACTACAACTAGATGACCATTTTAGAAGCATACTTGGCAATGCCGCCTTTTGTGTAGTTATCATGCACATTACAACTTTAAACTAATGGATTTTTTTTTTTTAGTGGAGCTAGGCAAAGCATCAGATACCAGTCAGTGTCATACCGAGCTTTGTTGCTAAGTGAATCACACATGATCAAAGATTACTAGATGTACTAAATTTAGTAAGCCGGATTTGTTATTTAGGTTGAACTGCATGTGGACAAATTGATAAGACAATCACTTGGGTGGGTATCAAACCACAACAAAAAATGGTATAGAAATTTGTAGCAGATTTGACATAACTACTTAACAAAAATATACCCCAAACTAAAACCACTGAAACTGCATACTGTTTATACATTGTACATTCACGCCACAGAAATACGAAAATCCACAATCATTTTGTTCTTTAAGCATTCCAAAGCCTTACCTTTGAAGAGCCATTGGAGTACATTTGTATCATATTTTCTGCTCCCTGTTTTACCTTCAGTTCTATATCCAATTGCTTCTTTAAGGCCATCAATCTGTTGTTAGTAGAAAAACGAGGATCGCTATTCGGAGTATCAGGAGTCCTAGGACAATCTGTGAATTAAATGTAAGATGTAACGTGTGCAGAAAAAAAAAAGAAAAAACCCAAACCCCACAAAACCCAAAACCTGAACTCCCACCCCAAAAAACAATCTAAACTTTTCTATTCTATTAAGTTATAGATTAAACAAAGCTGGAACGTCATACGTAAGTATTAAGACTGACCCTCCTGTCCAGAGCTACTTTGCAACAGCACTGCAAATGCGCCTTAACAGGAAAAGCCTCACGAAAGCCTAGTGACTCCTACACATGTCCTAATTCACATGAATCACCTCCGGGAGTGGCAAAATAGGCAGGTTTGCAGCTAGGTCTATTTTCGTTTCAAATGAGATTTATTTCTTCTGGAATGTCTTGAGTCAATTAAAAATGCAGTTTTCCATTAAGCTTTCTTACACTCTTGATTTTAAATCTAAGTGTTTTAAAAACAAAACTTGGACAATAATATTCAATACTAATGAGCATGGTCTAAATACAGATATTAAGTAGATCCTCATCGATTCTAGTGTGAACACTGCAGACACGGTTTATGTCAAAATTAAGAATAGATAAAAAGAGCCTCTTCCTTAGTCACAAAGCTGAACAATTTTTGCTCTGGAATCATAGCAGAATCCTGGGATAATTGGATATATAGGCAGACAGGTTATTGAACAATTGTGATCCGTGGGAAGGATAAAGTTTTTTCGTTTGACAATATTACTGTGTTTAGATCTCCATCTTGCTGGATTAATTTAATGGAATGCAAGTTATTTTTATCAATCAAATTATATAGTCAAACTCCTTAACTTTTCCATCCTCCTCCAGAAAAGTCAATTAATCACTGGTTCATATTTCAGCTTCTGCAACATGAACTGTTAGCAAACTGAAAGTAAGTGGCCACCGGACTATTTCCTAGTACTTAACTATTTCCAACACGACTGTCCTTTTAGCTAACTATCTTCCCTAACAGTCCCAATGGCTTCTCTTTCAAACTTTTTGTAAAAGAGGATAAATTATGTCCACTGTAATAATGTTGTTTTGTTGTTGACTTCTTCTACCCTAACAACTGAGAGAATACCTTCTCTATGAGCAAGTGACATTAGTTGGTCTCCTGGAAGATAATATTTACCCGACCACAACAGTATAGTCTTTTTTCCCCAATTTTAATTAATTTTCCTTGAATTAAAACTAGGATGATGGATCAAGTTCCCGAAATCCTCACTTATTATAAAACACAGGCATGCAAGTGACATTATGGTCTCCTGGAAGATAATATTTACCCGACCACAACAGTATAGTCTTTTTTCCCCAATTTTTATTAATTTTCCTTGGACAGGTTATTGAACAATTGTGATCCGTGGGAAGGATAAAGTTTTTTCGTTTGACAATATTACTGTGTTTAGATCTCCATCTTGCTGGATTAATTTAATGGAATGCAAGTTATTTTTATCAATCAAATTATATAGTCAAACTCCTTAACTTTTCCATCCTCCTCCAGAAAAGTCAATTAATCACTGGTTCATATTTCAGCTTCTGCAACATGAACTGTTAGCAAACTGAAAGTAAGTGGCCACCGGACTATTTCCTAGTACTTAACTATTTCCAACACGACTGTCCTTTTAGCTAACTATCTTCCCTAACAGTCCCAATGGCTTCTCTTTCAAACTTTTTGTAAAAGAGGATAAATTATGTCCACTGTAATAATGTTGTTTTGTTGTTGACTTCTTCTACCCTAACAACTGAGAGAATACCTTCTCTATGAGCAAGTGACATTAGTTGGTCTCCTGGAAGATAATATTTACCCGACCACAACAGTATAGTCTTTTTTCCCCAATTTTAATTAATTTTCCTTGAATTAAAACTAGGATGATGGATCAAGTTCCCGAAATCCTCACTTATTATAAAACACAGGCATGCACTAGTAACTTACAAATTATTAATTATGAGGTGTCATGGGGAGAAGATGTCTTATCTGCCATTTCATATTTCTTCTGTAGAAGCTTCTGATAACTAGTTTTGAACATTTAATACATTTTACTTTCAAGTTTGCTGTGTAATTTCCTCCTAAATTGCAATTTTTGCTGAGGCTACATACAGATTTCATGTAAGGAGAAGTTTTAATTTCCTCTGCTGCTAGTTCACTCTTCACTTCAAGCCACTTCAAGACTCTTACTGCATCCTCACTACTTAAAAGTAGTACATAAAATACCAGATGTTTAAAAAAAAAGTGTTATTCCTCATCTGTTTTATCATTCATCCTCTCCTCAATGTTTTGGCTTGATTTCTCTGTGAAACTGCACTTGAACAGCTTTACCTTACATCTGTTATTAATAAAACAAAGATTAACAACATGCTTTCCTCTCACTTATGTCTTCACATTCAACTAATCCTCACCTAATAATCTATTCAAAATTAGAACAAACGTGAAACTTGAAAGTCACAGTGTCAAGTCTCCTTGTAAAGTAGATTAATCGTACAAATGAGTATTTACCAACTTTAGGTTTATGAGGCAGGCCTCTACCACTTAAAGATCCCAGCCCTCTGATGATCCCTGGTGAGACTGTGGGGCTCCTGAAGTCTGTTTTCACAGCTTTTAAAGATGCACACAATCAGTCTTCCTTTGCATTAAAACAACACTCAAGTTGCAAGTCAAGGACTAATTAGATACCACAGTTCAGGTTGCCCAGGCAGCTGTTATTATCTCCCTTTGTGTGTCTGCACTGTGAAGGTGTAATCACATCACTTGCCTGGGTCATCTCAAGAGTTGGTCTAACTTGTGGACCTGAACTACCCTCTACCATTTAGTTTAAATGGTTCTAGTATATGCTTTGTTAGTAACCAGCAGCAAAGGAAACTTTTCTGCAGTATGGACTAATTGCTAGGAAGAAATAATTTTTTGCCTTCAGGCATAATAGCTGCTCACTAAACTCCCAAACATGGAACAATATGGTTTCTTAACAAAGATTTTTTTTTTTTAAAGGAAAAAAACCCCATTTACCAACAGCTTTTCAGAAATGGTTTCCAAGTGACTCCTTCTCCCCCCCCCCCCCCCCGACCCCATTAAAATTCAGTAAGCAGCCTGAGGCAGCTACTTACAGAAGAATTCAGATTAAAGTTTTAAATCAGCCAGACAAACTGGTCCTATTATGGAAAGCGTTGACAATCTTAGCAGCAGCACTACAAGCTACATCTGTATTAGCTGTTTCCCCCTCTGTAATGTCTACCGAGGTTGTAATCACTTCGGTATGTCTAGTTATCTCTGATCTATTTGTATAAAGCACTATACAGAGGGGCTCAAATCTCATCTGGAGACATTTAGTCAGCTTCATAATACAAATAAGTAATAAATTCATCCAGATAATTGCAATCAATGGGATTTATGTATATGCTTAAAGTTAAACAAGAGTCAAGTACTCATATCAAAATTTATATTTCACTCAAGTAGGTAAGTAGGGACTGAGGAAAATAAGAGATTCTCCAGTTTGCCTCATTTGTTGGTCAATAAGGACTTGCCATTTTGGATGCATTCAAGTCCAACTTTGCATAGGACAGCAAGAGCTTTGCTGGGGTATGGCCTAGTGCCCCTAGGCATTTCTTCTTGACAGTGAATATCAAGTGAAGTAACAGATGTATTTCAAGTGAACTTGACTTCATTTCAAGTAACTAGCATGTTATTTTTGCTGAACAACTGCAAATGTTGTTGCTTAACACTAATGAGTTTTGTGCGGCTTGTTAGCACACATCCAGGCTGCTGGAAGAGCCAGAGTACTGCTTCCCCAGCACTTGCAATATCCTGTTTTCATGAACATATACTCACAAGACTTAAAATAAGTTAATAGTGATGGTTTAACTGATTTTTTTTTTTTTTTAAATGTCTGGATTGCATCAGGACAATGGCAGTTTTCAGTCTGAAATGTTTATCTTAACTGTGATCTTTGCTCTTCTGAAAACCTTTTCAGTCTGAGTCTTCGCATAGTGTTCACCAGCAAAAACTTTTTGCTTCTAAATTGCCTTTTACCAGCGCTCCTGTCTAAATTATATTTATTAGAGTAGTGACACAAGTCTACTCTTCTGAAACTGCTGCTCATTCCTTTGGGGACTCTTCCCCAGATGCTAGGTATACTATTTCTTCAATAAGCTCAGTGTGAAATCTAGGATTCCATGTAACTTTCTGAATTTGGGTTCCCAGATGGTACTGCAGCATGCTGCTAAGCTACTCAATTAGCAGCAAGTGCCCTTTGGTAAACAGTTAATTTTACTCTTATTTGAGGATATTTAATTGCAGTTAGCCTCATCAGTGTCATACCCAACAGAAATACCTGTGATGCATGTTTAGGCATTGCTGGAGGGGGGAAGAAAGAGGCATCATCAGGCTTTTCTCAGGGAGTCAGATGGTTGCATCAGCACTTGAACTAAGCCATCAGTAAGTCCAAGGCAGCAGTGGACATTCTGCAGCCAGAGGACATCCAGCACTGACCTCCTGGAAACTTTTGAAGGTCCATTGAATTTCAATTCAGTAACGGCTAATTTTAACTACTAAACAAGTGGCAGGAGATTGTTTCAAATTGCTTCAATAATGTTATTCTACATTAAGGTTCCCAAAAGCTACCATGAAATTCCTATAGATATGAGCCTTGTAGGTGGAGTCTGCTGTCTAAAAAGTCACTACCTCTACTAATTTGGTTGCTACCTCTACCAGTTTCCAGTAATTGGTCTTGTATGGACACTTTGGTGTCTGACAGGTGAGCCTAGTCATTTGTAGGGACAGAGAAATCCCCAAAACAGTCTCTCTCACTCCCCTGTCAGCTAGTCATATTCTTAAACAAAGTAATTTATTTTCTTTGTGACCCCTACAGCCAAATTTGATGTAAAGTGGATAGCTTAGAAGTTAGTTAGGAGAATGGAAGAAGAGGCATGAACTTGTCTTTTTGATTTCATGTTCTCCATGTTTTATCCAGTCTCCTCAATTCCCTCAAAATTCTATCATCTCACCACCCTATCCACCTTTACTTCAGCTCTATGGAACAGATTAATTTCCCAATTTATATATATCCTACGTATCAACTATATGCCTAATTAAATCAGTCACTTGCTGTAGGTAAGCTATTTCAATCTTACATCTTACTGAGTCATATTAAAAGCCACAATCTCTACTGCTACTTTTTAGACACATGAAAAGAATATCAATTTAATCTGTGCTACTGTGTAGAAGTATGTTTTCAAGATACAAAATTTCATCATCTCTAAGACTGAAGTAATCATCCCCATGTTACACATTAAAATAAATCTCTCAGATTTTCAGCAGTAATGGTCACTAGACTTGTCCTACTCGTTTTGTATTGCTGCATTCTGCTTCACTTTTAAGTGCTGACCTACAAATTTTAAAACTCTGCGTCCTAGTATGATTAATACACTGCACGGTAAGGGCAGACCTGGGTACAACATCCCACTTCCAAAACAAATCTAGATTCACCAGCAACCCCGTAATGTAAAGTAAACCTATGTTATGCTAAAATTTGTTCCTGAATCATACATCTGCTGCCAAATCTACCCTCACATTCAGTAACATAGCTTTTTGACAAACTGCACTTTTTGGTTAAGGTTTAATAACAATTCTTCAAACAGTTGTGAAAATAATTTCCTACGACATTAGGACATGGAAAGCTTTCAGCTCTAGGCAAATTACCATCAAAACATCTTAATTTGCTTGAAATGGAATGTTATTAAAACACATTTTTCTACAGTACATTCATTAACACTACATTTAATGGTTTTAACGTGTATCAATTAAATTGTGCTGATTACAAAGAAGTTACACTACAAGTTAGTGGTAATGTAAGTTACTGCTTGATACCATAAGCAACAGTAAGAGTCACAACAGCTTGCATGGCACTTTTCAGCTCTAAATCTGGAGCACTTTACAAATATATGTTCACACCCACTTTTCAGATACAGGAACAAGGAAAGATTAAATGACTTTTCCAAGTTACCACAACGACCTTTCAACCAGGCAACAGAAACAGTCCAAAAATCTTCAGAGTTCAGGCCTGACAGGTCAAAGGGATCATCATCTTATAGGCAACAATTCTCTCAGTGTTACTTCTCAATGGATCTCAGTCCTGACTTTGCTACTTAGAACCTGCAAAAACCTACACAATATACTCCAGAAGACAGGGAAAAACATAGGGCCACCCCTGAAAAATATTAAAGTACATAAAGAGAACACAGACCTTGACTCCCACAGCTCTTGAACCCTCTTTACCTTATTTTCAGCATTCATGCTCTGCACAGTCTAAAAATTTCCCATATATTTCCTTCTCTCTTTTAAATCTTTTGTCACTAACTGACCAGAAAAAGGTCAAACATGAGCTAAAGTGAAAAGCTGTAACTTAGAATAAAGCTAACCTCTGGAAACAATGCACTTATTCGGGGAGCTCCCATATTCATCAGTAAATAGTTATTAAATTCACTGTCGATATGAGCAAAAGCAAGAATTCCCAAACTGAGATACCTGTGACCTCTCCACAGAGATATCTTCTGTCAGATGGCAGTGATCTTTAGAGCTATGTGTCTAAGTATTTGCTGAATATTATGTGTATACACACACACAAAAACACCCACACAGTTGGTGTGTCATAAGTTTTATATTACCAACCTTATTTTGCAAAGGCCAAGCTCACTAATACCTTAAGTCAAACCTAAGACTTCAGTATTAAAAATCAGAGTATCACCTAGATCACTTGCACCCATTAGTCTTAAGACAGACAGAATGTTTACCGATAGTGCTCCCCCTCCATCACTTAGTGACCATGAATGAGGAAGGTGACAGGCAATTAAATTACAAGGCAAACAGTAGAAAAAACTCAAGCATTTCAATTTTGGAGGGTGGGTGCTTCTAGATCTTTGATCTAAAAAGATACATTAGAAGAATTAAAGACTACTTTTTTTTTCCCAGAAAGTTATGCAATGTATTCTATTAAAATGGGTCTTATATAGGAATACCTGATGTGATACTATACAGACAATATAAAGATCTCAACAGAATTAGTAAGTTTTTTCTTGTATATTTCAATAATTAAGACTGTAAATGCTATCTTACCAATAACACTTTGAACGGAATGAAAGTTAAAACCATATTACTAAGTTTAGCATGCATCAAAAGTGGGTAGAAGCACATAAGTTTATCAACTTTGATGTTTTATCCTTTGAGCCTTTCATTCAGTCTCTGGTATTTGAACACAAGGCGAGATGAGCCTGGCTGCTAACAGTTATTTACAAAAGCAATGGGCACTGCTGGCCTTTTCAGAAGTGTACTAAGGATCTGAACAACATTACTTAGATCTTTGTACCCAACCCATCTCTTTAGAACTAGTAAGTGCTTTCTTAGGGTCTACTGCATTTCCTGAGTCACGCACAAGGACAATATTGCTCATTAACTCATTGTGATAGTTTTAAAATGCTACACTGGAAGGGGGCATTCCAACAAGAGCATTCTGTGCTCATCCACTTTTCAACTCTACTACTAGATGAACTTCACAAATTTATTTCTGCACAGATTTTATATTCGGTCTATACACAGTTTGGATCCAATTTTTTTTTCTGTTCCACTCTTCCCATTCCTTTAAAAAGCCACACTACTGTCAACACTGAAGTGGATTTTCATAAACCTGAGCCAATATGGAACAGAATGCTTCATGCCTACTAAAAAACCCAATGGCTATCTATGAACCATACATTATTGTATTCATTCCCATTTTATGCTGCAGCAACTACTTTGCCTCACTAGTTCCACCTGTCGCCCCCCCTTCGCCCCTTGTATCTCATGAAGATCAAAAGCAAAAAATGCAGAGAACACAGAGAATACTGTGCAGGCTACCATGGTCACTTCAACAGTTTTGCAGCATGTCACAGGGCCAGACAGTATGAATTGCTGACATCACCTGCCAGTATTTTCCTAAATTCTCACTATAACCAACCTTTCTTACAAGGATGATGCGGCCTTTTATTTGACTGCCAAAGCTTTTTAAGGCTTGGCATTCACTTCACAAACACCTTCGATGGCTTGTGTATATTTATTAACTTTTTGCCAAGAAGAGTCTGTGCAATGTGAAATCACCAGGCTGGCAGTATCTCCCAAGTCATTCCACAAAGCTGAAAAAGGACTGTTTACTTTCACAACATTCCATCTTAAAATACCAAGCCTGGTATTTTAAAAAAATACATTCAAAATTAGTATTGACTCACTGCCGTGCCACAGAAAATACTAATTAAAACCATTAATTACAACCATTCTGTGATTCTGTGAAAACAATTTCAAATTTTCTTTAACATGGTAGCTTCATTGTGGAAAAGCCTGAAGATTTAACAAATCATTGCCACAGTAAGAAATGTTTGATAAGTTATTCAGATAAATGGCATAACAGAAAAAGTTTTTAAAAGTTAGATTTAAGTTTAAAAAAAAAAAAAAAATCAAACACTTTTAAGTACAAATGTTGTAATTTTTTTTCCACCATAAAATAAAAATGTGTATTAATGCTGATTCCTACAGCGTAACTCAGAGAAAGTCACTGGAAGAGCTACTGAAATTTGCCTTTATACAGTGAAAAGCCATTAGGAAATATTACAGTGATAGAGAAAATATTTTAATATATTAATAACTGAAAGTGAAGAACTGGTACATGTTAAGTTAGTCTTTAGAGCATCATCAAATAGTCCATGGAATACAGTGCTCCCCAGAAAACAATTTAAAACTCAAAGGGACTGGACACTTACTTGTGAATCAAAACAAATAGCCATATATAAGTAACAAACTTGCCAGCTATGTATTTGCTGAGCAATTTTTTTCAAGTGAAATGGGATACAGCTTATCTAAGCTAAGAGGAAAAAATGATTTCACAGTAACATATGGTACCTGCAACATCTTCTGGATCCGTTACAACAATGTGTGCATTTAACTCCTGTAACTTATGATGCAAGTCTTCTAACTTCTTATTTGATTTTTTCAAAATGTTGTCCACATATGCCAAGTTCTTTTTATCCGTTGTGACCTTCCTGAGGTTCTCCGCTCCCTCCTTGATTTTAAGTTCCTTCCTTATTTCCCGCTTGATTTGGTCCTTTATTTCATCCAGCTTCTGCTGTACCATTGTATCTGAAAAGTCCAACTTTTGGCCAGTGCTCACATTCTCAGAGGCTAGAAGACTTTTGGCATCCCCCTAGAAAGAAAAACAGTAATATAACTTCGAGGAAACACTGTTTCTTGACAACACACGCTGCACAGTTAAAATGACTAGGCTTTAGGCCTCTGTATATTAAACACTCACTTTGTAAGACCATTTACTAACCACGGGTCTACACTCATGTTGCCCTAAAGCAACAATCTCACAAGACATTACATGTTAACTGGAGTTACATTTTACAACAGATTTATTTTAAATTTAGCGACATCTTTACTATGCCTATTTTTAACACCAAGAGATTTAAATACTTCGGGATTTGTCATGGCTGCTTGCCTGGCAGTTATATGCCTCAGAGCTAATGACTCACATTCTAGATTTAATTGTGTGTTTTAATAGACCAAGTGGATATAGGAATAAGACTAACTTCTAACAATTATTATCTATGATGAATTTTTATACATTCATTAGAATAGATTCCTCCTAAAGATTGTTAAAAGAAAGTTAAAAAAACCTTAGTGATGATTGCAAATGTTTAAAGAAATACTGGCATCTTTATAAAGATTTGTCAAGATGTTACTGGAAAATAAATTTACCTTTTTTTTTTTTTTTAAAAAAAATCCCTCAAGTAAAGCCTTTCACTTAAAAAAAAAATAATAATCAAAAAATCTTACTTTCTTGTGCAGGCAAGCTAGGCTGAAATGAAAAAAAAAAAGTTGCAGTGATGAATAGGAGTTGGTGTAGTAAGGGAACAGGGGATGAAAAGTCTTCAGATCACCAGTATGTATGAGGTCATGCTTGTGCCTAGTATGTGTTTATGTATCATTGAGAACTAAGACTACAAAGGTCATGTTATAGAACCTACATCAATAAAGTACAATTAATTACATATGTAATAACACTTCCTGTGTGTCTTATACATGGACCCTGTACAATAAGTAGACACTAGGTCCTACCCAAGAAGTCTTAGCTTCACTCTAAGTGAGTGAAGATCAAAGAAGGGCTCTCCTGAACTTAGAATCTGATCTAGTCGTAATTCAGGATGTATTTAGTAAATGTGTGGCCTGATCTGTATGTAACTACCCAAAAGACCAAAATTCCAGTAAGTTTTCTTAAACACAACTAAGAAATTGCCTAGATTTCTGAAATATTTGGATGGACAGTAAGGTATTTGAAGGGATGATTAAAAATTTGAAAGTTTTGGGTGTAAAATTAGTTGTCATCACTCTTTGCTATTGGAAACACCACCAATACAGCAAAGGAAACAGTAGAAGACGACATTCAGGAAGGAGTTCAAGCAGCACAGCATCGGGCTAATAAACTGTAAGAATGCCCCAGAACACATGATCTCTAGGTATAGTCCACAGTGACTTGTTTGTTTTCAAAAGAATTTGAGGAAGTGAGGATCATGAAGGTTGTGCCTGGGCCATATATGTCAGCAGGTAATGCTGGTCAAACTATTTCAATCTGTGCACATTCCAGTGATACTGCCTTCTATAAGCAAGATCCAATCTACTAGTCCTCAACTATAATTTTAGAAGTTTACTAAATCATCTTTAAACCCCTCTTATTAAAACATTTCTACCCATAGTTGCTACTTTTAGTACAAAAAAGTACTTTTGTACTTTTAGTACAAAAACTGAGTAAGAAACAAAAGGGGGAAAAAATAATGCAAATTTATACTTAAAGTGCACTTGTGATTCCTGTAAGTACACTTCTGTTAGTGCAGATCAAAATAAATAATTTATTATGCATATGTAGAGAGGCTATTAATAGTTGTACTGGGAAATACATGACATTGTTTCCATATATAGGCATATAAAAAGCATCAACTTTTTTTTTAAAGAACAATCAATAGTGATGAGCAACTAGTACAAAGGTTCATATCCATAATGGAGGAAACCAACCACCACATGTTGAGTGTTTTGTTTTGAGAAACAACTGAAACTGAAAATAAATTCATATAGCAACTGTATAGCAAACTATTTAAGTAATAAGTATATCCAAATTAGATTCAGATCTTTGATTTCCCTGTTTAACACACAAAAATTTAGGATGTAAAAAAAGAGCTTCAAGATTAGTATACTACTATTTAGCCTTTAAAAACAGAGATCAAAACAGTGATTGTAAATAAAAAAGTGTGTATTTTTAAATCATAATCCTTTGCACTTGTTCTGCAAGCTTCCTAGAAATAAACTTATCATCTACCTCCTTCAAAGCATGATATTACACTTTTCAAAGTTCACAGGAGAAAGACAAGTGGTAAATGTAAAAAAACCCCAAAAACCTAACAACAACAAAAAACCCCAAACACCCCAGAACAACAAACAACCCCAAAACCAAAAGTAAACCTTTATTCTGTATTTCAATAGCACTTGAAGTATGCTAAAATTATGCCAAGAATGTACACTTCTCAAACAGAATAATGTAATGAAAACATAAATAATTCAGAAATATTCCTGACTAGGGTTTCCCAAAGAGACTTTAGTTAATTGTGTATCTATTGAACAATAACGTATTTTGTTACAGGGGAGGTTTTTATCCCTCTACAAGCCCTACATCCCACCTGTCAAAGGGATGTTATGTTCTTCCATAAACAGGTTTTTGGAGCCCTTGTTCCAGATATAGAGTCTCTAACAAGTCTTCAATTAAATTAAATCTCCATGATCATTAGTAATTTGCATTCCAAATTTCCAGTAATTAAGTTGAAGTTCTCCTCAGCTTGAGCAGTCTCAGCAGCATCTTTGTGCCTGGACTTAAGGGTTTCAGGATACAGTGTTGTCTTCTTCAATCTGTTTCTGAGACAGCCAAGCTCAATAGCACGGATGCTAACACTGGAAGCTGCTCACACTGCCTATGCATTTAAGCATTCATCTTTAAATCCCCCCAAAAGCCACAGATGATACTTCTGTCTCAAGATCTTGTCATCCAGAGTTAATTATACTTTTGAACTAAAAGTATCCTGTCACCTAGTTACCTAGACGTGTCACCTGGCACAAAGGTCACTGTGAAATAAACAGTCTTCCAAGGAGACAACCGTGCACTCAGTGACCTTGAAGGTCGCTGTGAATGCAGAGCAAGAGCGTGTTCTCCAAGCGAAGTTGCTCTGCTCCTGCGCTGACACGTTTTGCTGCTGCAATGGAAGTTTGAGACAGATCCTCATGCCGGAGAGATGAGCAGCCTCAGCAACATTCCATTTTAAAATGGAGGTAATGCCAAGATGGACACAACTGGACAGAACGTCTAATAGTTGAGTAAGAGAAGTGAGGTAGGAGTTTTGCTTTAAGAAAAGCACCTCCCCAAATGCCAAACTCAAACTCTACTTTTAAACTGAGAAGTGACTTAAAACACAGGATATTCCAGCTTTATTTGATGACAACCTATTACAAATCTCGTTAGAGCTGAATATTCTTTCAAAAAAATTCTTTTCCCCATTTGGACAAACTCCCTCCTAGGATGAGCCTCACATCCATTAGGACGTAGGTGTTCTGTCCCCTCAACCTGAAAATTAACAATGTCAAAAGAAACAACGGTTGGAGGCAGGGGCCAGGTCCTTTCCTTTGCACTGCTCAGTCAGGCAGGGTGCAAAGACAGAAGAAATCATTCACGTTCTCTATGCCAAGAAACCATCAATGGATTTTGCACAGCAACTTCCTTCACTCTCCCTCCCAGAATCATTTTACATAAAATATCTTAAGAGTGGAAATGCTCTGAAGCAGATAATGACTAAACCACTCCTGCTGGCAAAACAGGGAACAGGTCTCACTGCTTTAAAATGTAAGACAAAAGAATGGGCAGCCAGTTACTGATTCTCAGTTTCTTTTTTAATTCTGGTAGTGTTTTGGCTGCTGGTTAAAAGAGAGGAGCAGATCTTTGTTGGGTGGTCCCAGGACTGGACCACTCGGCATAGCATCCTTCTCTCCCTTGCACCACAGCAGACTGCTTGTGACCTGGTTCTTTGCCCCAGCAGCAGCAAAGGGCAGCAGGCACCTGGTGCTGCTGCTCCTAACAACCTGCTTCTGGGCTGTATGGAAAGCAATTAGAGGCAGTGGTGCATACTTCTTTGCAATGGGAAAATGCATGTTTATGAGCCAGACTAGAGATTTCTGAAACATTTCAGCATGTAATGAAACTGAACCACAAATTAGATACTACTGCTTTAAAAAAAAAAAAAAGGGGGAACCCATGTATACAGCTTTCCTGCTGCAGTGGCCTAATGACTCAACCTCACTTTGATTGCTGGCTCAAAGACTATCTATTTACACAAATGAATTCAAGATGCCAGCCATCAATTTCTGTACTCCTGGGAAATGTCTTAAGTATAGTTGCTGAAAATAATGGGTAGTGGTCTGAGCATGTCTTTTAATAATACACAGAGTCTATTCTGGCTGATGTGGTGAAAGAGAGTAGTAACGTTGTTTATGAAAACCCATGGGGGCACCACGCTTTTTCTTTGGGTCAATTTGGAACCAAATAATCAGTGAAGCAGGTGCCTTGCCAAACTGCATTTACCACCCAAACTCTCATTTAAGAATAAAACATCTAAATTGCTGAACGATGGAAGTGGTACTGCTGAATAGAAGAGAGTACCATGAAGCTGAACACATTAGAGAATCTGCTTAAGTTGTATAAACTTAATGACTTCCAATTCAAAATGAGATTCTCAAATTGCCACCTCTTAGAAGAAAAAGATAATGCTAAAGTCCTGGGCATTAATAAGTCCCAAAGACTTGCTCCTAAGAGCACAGTACAGCTGCACTGTGTTATAGCATGTATTCACCACAGAGAATATTGCATAGGGCAAGAATTCGGATTGCTGACTTCTGGTAGGAATTGTTACAGAAAGGTAAATGGAGCCTTAAACTACAGCATGCTTAACAGCTGGTGAGTACTCATACACAATACTATTTACACTTCACACTGACTTGCTACTAGCACACACTCAACCCACCTTTATAAAAAAATAAAAAAGACCATATCAAAACTCACAGTAAAACATTGTATATTTTTTCCTAAAACTAAAGCATTCATTTTTATAT